TATAATGTTATATGGTGGTATATGTGATCACCGAATATTTAAACTTTTATTAAATATCATTAAGGAGCTCAAAAACCTGAAAACCGTGACGAAAAGATGAACTATTCTCGAATACAGTACAGTTATCGGTGTGATCGATTAGCGTACGCATTTGTTTTTAAAATTATCTACAATAATTTTTTTTGCAAATACTTTAAGTTGAGTGGTAAACAATATTAATTTCTCATTCATTATAAATTTATCTGTATATGGAATATTTTTCTGTCCAATTTATTTTAAAATATTCGCGTATCATATTACCACTATTAATAATTGCAAGAAATTAAAAAAATAATATGTATATATGTATAATGACTTTAAATAGTATTCTATAATATCGGTATTCGGAAAAGAATGATATTATAATGTGTCATTTAGGAATTTCTTCCGATTCTAGTCAAGGATATTCCAATTCTATTTAATATACAGAAAATTAAGGATAATTCTATATTTAACCCTTGCTGGTCGAAATCCGGAATATTCCCAGTAAGATACCCATACTTACAACTATTACGACCGAAAAGCGTTAATGACGCGATGAATTATTTGAATATTTAACCCGTACTGTACAATAATGAGTCTTTACTGCTCGACTGATATTTCTCTTGGAAGTTTTCTCCCCTAGCTGGGTTTCCTTTTTCATAAATAAATTTTGCTACATATTATTATTGTCTAACTTTGGTTACATACATTTGTTCTACAAACTTGGAAGTATATTCATGAATTTTTACTGATTGTTTGGACGGTTGTAATTAAATGAAATAATCGTCGAAATCTGGAGACCCATTATTTTAGTAAAGATGTCGCCGTTTTTCATATTATACCATAAAGGTTAATTTTTGTGTAATAAACATGCGAATGCAAGAACCTGCACTTTGTCAGACTCTTCATCGGACACTAACGCTTCGTTTCAGGATTAATCAACACATTCGTTCACGCAATAATGTACACATACTATTTACTGTCATCTATGAAAATTAACATGTTATCGTGGAAAAAGCATATTACTCAGCTGCAGATGATTCAGTTCGTGACAATATCATGTCACATGTGCCAATTATTCTGGACGGATTGCGAATATCCGCGATGGGTAGCGTTGTGTATGATATCGCAAAATATCTTCATGTTGGTATTATTTGCGGAATTTTATTATTATACCTACGTTAAGCCAACGAATCCAGCGACATCAACAGATTTAAAAGCGAACAGCGTCTCATTCGTCCCGAATGACAAGGTAAAGGGACACAATAAATGCGCGTAATATATATTCTGTTCGATTGTTCTGTTTTTTTATTTTACTGCTACTAATGTATCGGGATCAAAATTAAACATCTGTCTCGCTCATGACTTTAGAACTCACGGTGACATTACTACGTTTCACGTTCGTAAGATAGCATGAGTAGTCATTTATATATGTTGCATGTATGACGGCATGCCTCTTTCTTTGCTATTCCGTCGAAACATCATAGCAATCGGCTGATGATTAATATTTACTTTTATGTAAAATCATCGGAACAATGTAGGTTTCTATAGAGAGACGATTTAGATATAATATATATCTAAATACACAAACGTTCGTGACGTTTTCTATCCGTAAATTTGATCTGTGAAGAGACAAATATTTATACCGATTTACTACATATAATATTCAAAATCTAATCACCGTTTTTTGCCATTTCTCTTTGCAATGATTGTACTTCATGTTTTATTAAGAGGTTAAATTGGGAAATATCCGAAACGGCGCATAAATGGTGACTAATGTCAAATTTGTGTTATCGTTGAAAAATTGCTTTCTTCAAAAGAATTTAATCATAATATTTTATCTCAAATGTAGGCTCACTATTGTTCGTAATGTTTGAGTGCGAGATTACTAAAACAGACGCTCTCAGTGATCTTTGTAAACATGAAAAAAGTTAAGGTTCGTACCGTCATTAAATTTTATATTTAGAAAAGGAAATCGTTTACGCAGGTTAAGACTATGTTAGATGTAATTCTTGAAGACTGTTTATTTCATTTCTTTGATTATATTATAATTATCATTGTGGTAAAAACAGTTGTTTTCTTTTCCTGTCTTTCTTTTTTCCTTCTTTTATTTAAAGAATTCATACGCGTTGAATCGACGCAACGTCGTGACTATTTAAAACACAAAACCATAATCGAACTATTCGATTGTCGGAATTGTTAAACTGTTGAACTTACCAAATCGGTGAGAATAGTTTAACAACTCTTGAATATTCGACATTTTTTCACCGTCATTGGCGGGTTAAGTTGTTCGAGAGGTCAATATCATCCGGAAGGCAACATCGATATGTCAATTTTCGTGGGATGTGCTCGTCTACATACGCAATGCTCTCTCTCTCTCTCTCTCTCATTACAATACAATGAAATAGAAATGGAAATCTGATGATGGGAAGCGTACCCGGCAGTCGCTTGGAGAAATTCGTAGTGACTGGTCGTGCCGAAAGAAATTAGTAAAAATTTTAATAAACTTTTATTTTTTTACTAAGTAAATCATTGTGGTATAATATAACTATTCGGGGAAGAAATATAGCAACAAGTGTTTAAACCAAGGAAAAAAGGAAATAAAGAGATAGATTTACAGTTAGAGGAAGGAGTGAGAGAGAAAGAGAGGAATAAAGAGAGAGAGAGAGAGAGAGGGAGAGAGAGAGAGAGAAAAGGAAACTTCACCACTTTCGTTGTAATTATCAACCGATAAAGAAACGAAAAAAAGAAAAACGGATAAAGAGCTAAAGGTTAAGTGTATGAATTTTATAATAAGAAAATTATAAGTGGAATTCAACTTTCACTATAATCATGGCTGTAGCTCTAGACAAAATAATCAAAGGATTTACATTCCTGAACGAGGATTTAGCAGGTTGGTGTTTCACACTATATTACGTTGTGTTTATATGTATAAAATTTGACTGCTGAGCTTTGTCGTCCCAGACTCGATGAAGAAATGGTAATAAACAATAAAAAATGAGGATAAGTTAATACAGGGTGGAAGATAAGTTAATACAGGGTTAATACCATTTAAAATGTTACAAGCTGTTATCTTTGAAAGTATGCATCATAGCAAAAAATGCTTAAGATAAAAATGCTATGGTTTGAAGGGGATCAAAGAATAGTGAAGTTAATTTAAAAAAGAAAAAAAATTTTCAAGATTATATAAATGTCATCAGTAATTTCTTAAATGGAACGCCCTATTTTTGATAACAGATTCTTATAGCTGATGTCGAAACGTTTCCAAAATGATATATTTAAACCTTTTCCGTTCAGAACTTCTTGATTTATGAATCTTTCAAATTATGGTAATGTTGACATTATTCAAAGTATATCAGATGACAATAAAGATTGTGAACTTTATCTCACACCTCCATTTGTCTTTCTGTATGTATCTATATATAAATATAAGCACATGTACTAGATTAGCGCGAGTCCGTTTGTCTCTCACATTCAGATATATTTCCACCAGAATTCCTTGCATTCAATTCAATAAATGTTCAAGATGTTTATCTTCTTGTTGTAGACACAGTTGCAAACATAGCTCGTTTAAAAAAAATTAATATTGTACATCCATTTTTACTAATTTTAATGATTTTCTTATTCTATTGCAAGATCCACGTACCAAAGATCTGTTTCTGATCGGCAATTTATGGTATACCCCATCTCTGATTATATTTTACATATACTTTGTAAATGTTCTTGGACCAAAATTTATGGAGAAAAGACAACCTTACAAATTGAATAGGATAATACAGATATATAACGTTCTGCAAATTATATCGAACTTATACATATTTTATTTGGTAAGTCCGGTATTATATTTTCTTTTAATTCCTGATCTTTTACAGAGAAGTAAAGATAAGAAAAAACATTTCTGTCTTTTAATCATCAACTTACACGGTCTTATGAAAAGTACCAAAAGATCAATATTTAAGGAGACACAGCTTCGGAAATATTGCAAATTTCGCAAATATTTCAGTGTATTTTAATAGTAAAATAATTTTAGATTAGAAGATATTGCTCGTTTATAAAAAATTACATGTATATAATAAATGTAAATATTATATATATTTACTCAGGCATTAAATCTGATGTGGTTGACAAATTACAATTTTCAATGTGAACCTGTCGATTTCTCCTATGCACCCAGAGCTATACAGGTAACTATGAAAATTTAATTAATTAATCAGAAATAAATTATAATTATAAATACATATTTTGAGGGGAGGAAGGGGAGGGACAGAAGGCAATAGAGTGAGGGCCCCTCCTTCACTCCATCGCCTTCTCTTCCTCCCCTCCCAATCTCTCTCTCTCTCTCTCTCTCTCTCTCTCTCTCTCTTTCTCTCTCTCTATCAATATGATTAACTTCATGAAATTTACATTTACTTTCGTAAAAGAAAAGGTATTATAACATTATTATAGCTATGGAATAATTTTGTTTTTCTCATTTAAAATGAATGTCCCAATTAGTGACAAAGTAACATCATCGTGAAAAGGAATTAATAAATTATTAGATAAACGGAGATATAAAGTTTAGTCTTGGTGAAAGAGAGAGAAGTTCCCTATTAAAGATGATATTTTAACTATTATTTGAAGTATTTTATTAAAAACAAGTGACATACGTTATCTATGGTTGCAGATGTAGGTTCAGATGTAGTTGAACCAAAACGGTCACATGAAGTGGAGAAGCACACACACACATATACATGTATCAGGCACACACTACATACCTACATACTCACGTTCATAAACATACATGTTCTGTATTTGTTGTACCTAACTATTTCTACAAGTAATTAAAATGAGACTTAAAGTAATTAAAATAGTATTAAAATAAGACAAAAAATTTCGAAATTTGCTTTTATTTGCGTATATAATTATATATATAGTTTACTGGAGATACCCGTCACAATATATCAATATGCTAATGAAGTTACGGTAATTTTAAATTGTAAGAAGATAACATTCTTACATTTATGACATCCACTTTTCCGGTACCGGCCCAATGCCTAGTATCAATTTTGAATACAAGACCTGTACCAATAATACTGCTTTTTTAATATTGGGCTAGTATTAGGCTAGTATTAGGTATTGCCTAGTTTTAGGTCTAGTATTAGGCAATACCGAAACATGATATCTGTTTTTTGGTACCGTGCCAATATCCTATACTGATAGACTGTATACGATTTTTACACGGGTTTTAATTTTACACGAAACTTGTTATAACAGATAATATATAAAATCTAGTGTAGAAACACATTTTTTAGGATTAATATGGAGCTATGTTATTTGACTTATATTAAGAAGAACAATTGCGATTGTCACAAATTGGGACACTCTCACTAATTAGGATATTCACCTTATATGAAAATAAAAGAGAAGAGAGGAAATTATTGAGCAAGACCACGTTATATATTTTGTTACCAAACAGATCTCAAGAATGTTCTGGTACTACTTTTTGCTCAAGATCGTTGATTGGCTGGACACAATCTTCTTTGTACTTAGGAAGAAGCAAAGTCAAGTAAGCTTCCTTCACGTATATCATCACTTTGGCATGGTAATGGCTTCTTGGGTAGGCGTTAAATATTTTCCCGGTGGTCACAGTTCGTTATTAGGTACGTATAATGTTGCAGTGGTGAACATATTATTGATTTGCCCGATTCACGTTATATAAATCAAAATGATACTCAAATAAACAAAAATATTTTATTATCCCAATGATACTAATCCCTGATATCTATAATAGCGGCTGAGACAAAAATTGAAAAGTGAAAAATACGTTTTTTTTTTTATGATATCCCGATAATAGGACGAGAAAGTGATATGGAATTCTACACAGATAATTTTATCAATTACATCTTCGCATTGCGTCTAGTACAGATAAATTTTCTTTGGCAGCCGCTAAACTCCCTTGTCCTGCTAGAACCTTCACTTGTATATGAAATATTTTATTTTCCATTATAATCTAATATATTTGTATATTTTATTGCCATCAATAATAAGAATCGTGAGAAATCGGAAAAAAAATATTAAGAAATATATAATAACATTAAGTAGTATAATATTCGAAAAAGAATGATATAAAGTTGACGTTATTGGAAGTTTTTCCGATTTGATGTACAAAAGATCAAAGTATAATGCTTGCTATTTGACGATGCGATGAACTTTTACGTCTGTATATATAATTCTAGCACAACGAATATGCGCGTGTGGAAATTTGAATTTTGTAACCTTTCATCGAACGTAACTTTGTTTCAGGATTACTCAACACGTTCGTTCACTCAATAATGTACACATACTATTTGCTGTCGTCCATGAAAATAAACACGAGATCGTGGAAAAAAAACATTACTCAGCTGCAGATGATTCAGTTCTTTATGCTAGCATGGCACTACTCCAAATTATTGTGGACGGATTGCGGTTACCCGCAATGGGTAGCCGCGGTAATGATACCGCAAAATGTCTTCATGTTTGTATTATTTGGGGAATTTTATTACGATACCTACGTTAAGCCAGCAAATGTGCCGGCGTTACCGAAAATAAAAGCGAACGACGTCCTCGCAAGGGGTCTCGTCTCGAATGGCAAATTGAAAGAACAATAAATGCGCGTAGCGTATTGTTCGCTCGATTTTTCTGTCTTTTTATTTTACCACCACTAATATATCGAAGCTATGGAATTAAACGTTGATCTCGCTCGCGACCTGAGAATTCACGACGAAATTATTGCGTATCATGTTCACGTAGCATGATAAGTCTTTTATATCGAATGTGAGCACGAGCGTGACGTAGTAAACAGCGCACTGGGGCTTAGCAGCTACACTTAGAGGTGTCCCGGGTTTACCTCCCGATAGAACTCAATACATTTTTCATACGGTCGTGTCCTCCTTTTCGGATGGACTGGTAAATCACCGAGAGCGTCTATGCCACGAAAATCTTACTCTAACAATCTGCTGCTCGGAATCGGCGTTAAACTGTAGATTCCATATATTCTTATGTATCAGCGTGCGCACCACAAGTATATGCGAGAAAAATGCCCTACAAAGGGGCTATAGCGTTAAAAGAATAACAGTAATAGTAGTATCGAATGTACCATGGCATGCCTATTTCTTCGCAGCATAAGTTCCGTCGAAACCTCATGGCAGTCGGCTGACGATTAATATTTATTCTTATATAATCATTCGAGCTTCTCCACGAACAGACACACCATATTAATCCTAAAAAATATGTTCGTTCTTTTTCGTTTCTGAGAATGCGTGGACTTGGTCACCCTGTTATTATTACCGGTAAGGAATGGAAAATAACAAAGCCACATGGTAATCTTAGCCGGAAATCGAAGCCGGCACTTTCGCTTGCCAGGCAACTGCTCTACCGCTAACCTGCTTAAGCCCCACGTCCATCCGATAAAATTCGTCTTTCTTAAATTATAAAGAAAACCTCTTATTCCTTTAAGGGAAGATATACACCTAGAAACCGGAAAAAAGATCATTTTTTGTGAATTTTTTCAAGGAAAACTATTTGAAATTTCGGATTGGGGTTTTAATTATCTAAAAGTATATACATTAAAAAATATATTTATTTTTTTTTAGTTAAAAATAGCAAAAATTTACATGGATATTGGATGATACTTGAAGCACTGTAAAAACACGGTACCCACTGGCGTTTCTTCAAAAATCATCTGAAAAGAAAAAACCAAAGAGATTATTAAAATAGATACTATAATCTAGTACTTGTCATAGGCGATTTTGAAAATATCGATTTATGACAAAATGGCGAACGTCTGAACATAAAGGGTGATTTTTGGGCCAAAAATTAATTATTACTTTGCCTATAAAACAAAAACTAAATAACGGAAAAAAAATCCTATGACAAGTACTAGATAATTGTGTATAGAATAACCAAAAAAAACCTCAAGGCAATCGGTTCATTGGTTTTCGAGAAATTTTGGATACCGATTTAAAAAAACGTGGTTTTGAGAAAAACGCGTTTGAAAATTTGGGAATGAATTAATCATGAAATTTGTCAACTTACATGGAATCATCGATACCAGACCCATAGTGTAGGGTCTTCCTCGGTCAACGGAATGTTGATTTCTTCTAAATTTTGTTGTCGGCGCCGTATTCGACCTTCTTTTGTCTGTTCTTGCGCTTGCAGCTCGGCTTTCGCAATGCGAGTTTCGTCTTCTTCTGCAGCGTACAAGTGTGTTCCTGAACCAACTGATATTCCCAACACATTCATAATTTCCAATAATAAGGTGACACCATTGTTGAACATGTATGTTGCCAGAAATACAGCAATGTTAACGATTTCGGCTCCGCTGTTCATCGTTTTTGGAGCTATCTTCCAAATCAGTTGGTTGAAGCTCTCATTGGAGTTTTGGGTATATCCGCCAACACAGCGTTCTAACAATTTGTCATTGCTGAGGTTTTCGTATATTGGTTTAATGACATCTAACACCTCTTTTGGCAATGCAGCATAATCGTGACGGAAATTTTTCAGTTTATTTGTAGCTTTCGCTTGTTGCCACTTGCACCACGATTCGGGGCCTTCTGGACAGAAATGATGCTGAGGCTTGCTGTCTGTTGAGCTGTAATGGTAGAATGTTGCCCATATCGCTTTTTTCATGTCATCCTTGGAGTTACAGTTTCTGCGAATAGCTAAACAATAGTAAATGCTCAGTTTATCTATAAGCTTTGCTGTCAATTTGTTTTTGCCGCCGATTCCAGGATTATTTTTTTTGCATCCGCGAAGACGGGTTCCCATTCGCGTTTGAACGTGCCCCACGCATTCTTTTTTAACAATTTCATTCTCATCACCATACGGTTTCGCATTTATTATCCCCGTGTACGTCTTAGAGTCGCCATCCCCCACGTAATTTGTGTACATAACTCCATGCTTTTCGACAGATCTTGAAAATAATTCTATCATGGCGTCTACTTCCATTTTGCCTGACGATCCTTCATGATTGACCTGACAATTTTCAGCGTGATTAGATTTCCATTCCTGATATTGCTCGGTATTTTTGTGTTTATTCCAATAGTTACATTCACCACAATAAGAAGATTTTACAAGAAAATCAACGACTTTTCCTGTAAAATGACCAATGAGAACCGCAACTCCATATAACGAGGTAAAACTACGTTTTCGCCACGTACCATCTTCTGAAACGGTCAGTTTTATGTTATCAGCACTCGAGTTTTCTTTTGTTATTCCCTTGTTCTTCTTTAACAGCTTGTTTTAACACCAATTGAACAATACTTGAAGCAGCCGAATGAATGTTATTTATTATCATATCATACGTCGTTTGTCGAAGCGGAGATGGTAAATCCATGAGTCCACAAAATTTCATAGCTCCACACAAACCAATACCCAGTAAACGCATAACAAAAAAAAAACGTGTGTTTATTTCGTAAGCTGTGTTGATGTACGGGCACAAAGGAATAAAAGTCGGCTTGCACGATGAACACGAAACTACAATTTTAAAACCGAGTCCTCTAGTGCTTTCTATAGAGAATCGAACATCACTATCACACTTTTTGCATTTTACACATTCTGATAAAGCAGAAAACACAGTTACAAAATTCAAAATTCGATATCCGATGTTTGGATCTTCTGGTGCGGATGTCTCACGATCAGTCTTCAATTTTTTGGCACTGGAACTAATATTCTCGTCGGAAAGTTTTTCGGCAGAATATCGATTTTTGGGCGGTATTTTTTTTTTACTTCGATCCTTGCAAAAAGATCCGGATCGATAAGCTTCTCGAGAACCTTTATTTTTTGTATCCATTTTTCTCTCAATATTTATTCACTAACGAAAATTCACTAAAACGCACAGTTGCACGAACAACAAGCTACTGAAAACGTGTCTACTTCTGGCAATGAATAACAGCCATCTGATATTTCCGTTATACCTGGAGCCAAGCATGCTACACCTGCCTAGTATGCCCAAAAACACAAACAATTGAATCACAAAATAAGTCTACGCCTTTTGTTCGAAGGGTCACTTGCCGTTACCTGCCTGTCGCCTGTCGGCTCGGCGCTGTAAAACACGTTTCACCGTCTCGGCTGTAACTGGCTTATTTATCGAAATACTACTTTACCGTTTTTACCTGATATTCTAATGACCTCAAACTTCAAGGAAATGCAAAAAAAAATCGATTTTTTCGACCATCTAGGTGTATATCTCACCTTAAGAAGACTCATTCTTTCATCCTGAGTCTTAACTAAGTAAATAAAAATATGTATCTGTAACCTCTGTATATAATCAATTAATACTAAATATGGCCTGTAAGAACTTCACAGATTCCCGGCTTCAATGGATCAAAGAAGAATCCAACGAAGAGTTATGGAATAATATTGGCACTCAAAGCCAAGATTTGAAAGCGAGAAAAAACGTAACGCAAGAGTACACGAAGGAGTAGACATTGATAGAGCTTAATATAAATATAAAAATTATTCAGTTTCGGGAAAATATACAATTTTTTATATATGAAATGTTGAGATAGTATTGAAGACTGAAGTAGTGCCAACTCATTAATTATTCGATCATTTTTCATTATCATAAATAGGTCTAGTTGCCTGAAAGGTCAAGATCATTCGGAAAGCCATATCGATATTTAATACAGGATATGTATGCATATGTATATATGTATGTGCACAACAGTTCTTCTCGTTACAATACAATAATAGTAGAAAGTAAGGAAGTAAATAAGTAGAAATAGGAATATGACATAAAGAAGTGTATTCGGCAGCTGCTTGGAGAATATTGCAATGATTAGTCGTGTTAAAGAAAACTTATAAATTTCTTTTTTAAGGAAGTAAAAACAACAATAAATTGCTATTTTTAACTAAATAAATCGTAATGATTTAAGATTATTCGAAGAATGAGTAATTAATGCTTATAAATCGTGGAAAGAAGGAATTGTAGTTGATATTATATAAAGTTTATGTTGCCCATCATTAAGGGTGCATCAATAAGGTCCATCAATAACGAAAGATCGAAATTTTTGGCATGTTAAAATATTTGTACTGCTTAATTACGTTCTTTTAATTTAAAAAGCGTTAATCAAAGTTAACACTTCGCGTTAATTAAAATGATCTAACACTAATTTGTTTGATTTGCATCAACATAATTTTATTGCAAACAATATTGTATAATCACAGTAATTAATTCCTGTAGCAAATCGTCAAAAAATTACTGAAGTACCAACCAGCAGTATGTTTTTAAGTACTAGTCATTAATATTTTTTTCCAGCATGACCTTCTCCTAATGAAGCTCAACCTTTGGAGTAATTAACGGCTTTTCTGAACGTTTTCCCAGGACTGTTTGCGCACTATATTGCTGTAGATAATTCATTTTTCATCGTTCGTCACGATTCGTTTTAAAAATGGATCGATTTAATTTTCTTCAGACAAATCATGCAGCACCCGGACATCAAGACGATTCACGTGCAAATGCTCGATGACAGTTGTATGTGATAAATGGACTATCTTTGCGTCAAGTGCCGTTGATTACACAGGCCGACAAAATTTGGCAAAAACTTTGTTTTCTCCATGCTGCATGACCTCAAATATAGGCTAAAATCGCGTTTTTTGCACTTTTAGATTATAATATTTCGGAAACCTGAGCCAAACGAGCATTTCTGAGGCCAGATTTGAATTCAGCGAGTCAAAAACCTTCGGGATAGTATATTTCGGTTTCTGGTAAAATGTTTTGTCGGCCTGTGTTATTCTCGATTAAAATTTTGATTTAGTCATCATTCAGTCAGCAACAGCCGGTCGACCTAAGCGCTCCTTATTTTCGAATGTCGCAAGCACCAGCATTAAACTTCATAAACCATATCTGTCACATATATTTTGTTACGGCATCTTCTGCATAACAGCACATATTTTTGTTTTTCGTTTAGGTCGCGTTTTTTCCTTTATAGAAATACAACAGCATCAACAAGGAAAATGTAGCCTGTTTTGCTTTATTCTTCTTTCGATCTCAAGTGAATACAAATGCTTCTATATATTAAATGACGCTTAGAGGTGTTAGTTATCAGAATAGCATACACTTACACCATCTAGATTGAAATTTCTTTTTTGTAAAACACCAAAGCCATCTATTGGGAAAATACATTACTTTTTTTCTAAACCAATAAGTAATTCCTTACAGACTAATCATTTAATATTTTTTCCAGTGATTACCAGTCATGCTTATCTATAAGGGCAACATTTTCTAATTTGTTTTTGCAACAAAATTATTTACATATTCAAAAAAAATCCAACGAATGGCAATTAGTACCATTAACATATCTCCAGGTAGAAATGCTGAACATAGTATGCAAATATTTAACGTTTACTTTATGATGCCATTGCAATAACACAACACGTTTAAAATGTGCTTGTTTTAAGAAATACTCAATTTATCCATTGAAATACTTCTTTATAATAACTGCGTGCGGTATTTACAAACTTTACCAAGTGTTATTGAATTTGCATTCACACTTTCAGTTCTTGTTAACGTTTCTGAGAGTGAATGCGTCGCGGAACTCTCACGCGTGTGTTGTGCCCCTTCAAGGAAGCAATAAATTAAAGAATCATTGTGTTATTGCTAATGCGCCATTGTGTTATTTTGAATTGAACTTTACGTTCACAAGAGACTCTTGTTCACGTGCGCACACCGTAATATTGCCGCAATTTTCAAGGCATAAGATGATTTTCTTTTGTGTGTTGACAAAATACGAAGTCTGTTCAAAAAGTATCGTGAATTTTGAATTTCCGCGGGTTACGTATATTCGATTTTCGATTTTTTTCTGGCGTTATGTTGGTACTCATGTCCCTCACTTATGCCGACAAGTTCGACCATTTTGAATATTCAGTTTATCTTTAACAGCTGTTTTGCTTGGACGTGTTTTAGCTCGTCTTCGATTTTTGCCTATTCCACAAAATGGATCAAAGAATCTAACAAAATTAAGTGCGCGGACGCATTCCGAATGTTGACTGTGGCATATGGTGAAGCTACCTTGGACCGAAGCAATGTTTATCGGTGGTACAAAATGTTCTCAGAGAGCCGAGAAGATGTGAACGACGAAGAGCGTGCCGGACGCCCGAGCACGTCAACGACAGACGAAAACATTGATGAAGTGAAGAAAATAGTATTGGCCAATCGTCGAATCACCGTTAGAGAAGTTGCTGAGGACCTAAACATATCGATTGTCTTGTGCCATTCGATTTTTACTAATGATTTGGGCATGAGACGGGTCGCCGCGAAATTCGTACCAACGCCCCTGCTCACACATCGTTGCTTGTGCGCGAGTTTTTGGCCAAAAACAACACACTAATGATGCCGCAGCCACCGTATTCCCCAGACCTGGCCCCCTGTGACTTTTTCTTGTTCCCGAAACTGAAGAGGCACATGAAAGGACGACGCTACGCTACGATTGAGGAGATAAAGACGGCATCGAAGGAAGAGCTGAACAAGATCACAAAAAATGATTTTTTGAAGTGCTTCGAGGATTGGAAAAAACGTTGGCACAAGTGTATAATATCTGATGGGGATTACTTTGGAGGAGACAAAATAGATATTCATGAATAAATAAATAATTTTTGAAAAAACACAAAATTCGCGATACTTTTTGAACAGACCTCGTACTTTTGTATGAGGATGTATTTCAACGTACTTATATCAGTCACATTGCAGACAATATACTAAAATATGTTTATCTGGAGTTTTCCGTTATCCACATAATAACTGACAGATTTTACGGATACAGCATAAAATTTACTACATCAGAAAATTTTTTTTCTGAGTATAACAACAAATTAAATATTCGATTTTTCTTCACTGTCATGAACGGGTTAAGTTATCCGAAAGGTTAATATCGCTCGCAAAGCAACATCGATATGGCAATTCTTGTAGGATGTGTACGTGTACAGTCAACCATAAAACAATTGCAACGGTTTTTTTCTCTTTGACATGTTTCGGAACATACAAAAGTTACGACGAAACAAACCTATGGTACACAAACATACACACATACACAGTAGATGGTCAGACAGCTGACAAAATTACATATGCATCTATAATTTTGACATATACATATTTAATTTTGACAGCTGTTTAACTATTTATTATGTTGGTAAATCATAGATTCGCTTCGTATCTTTCGTGTGTTCCAACATGTTAAAAAAACGGTTACCGTCCTGTAATCGACTGTACATTCGCATACAATACTTTTCCTCATCATACTATAATGAAATAGAAGAAGAAATTTGATGAAGTAAAGCAGTAGTCAGTTAAAACAGTACTCAGTAGTCAGTTAGAGGATTTTGCAATGATAGGTTGTGTCAAGAAATCAGCAAAAATATCCACAAATTTTTAATGAGATAAATTATTATGATTTAAAATAACTATTCGGGGAACGAGTGTGGCAAAAAGTGCTTATAAATCAAGAAAGAAAAGAATAAAAGAGAAAAGTAGAGAGAAAGAGAAAGAGAGAGAGAGAGAGAGAGAGAGAGAGAGAGAGAGAGAGAGGGGGAGAAAGAAAGAAGGAATTTTCACGACGTTCGTCGAAATTACTTGCCGACATCGAAACAAAGATTAAGTGGACAAAGAGCTAAAGTTTAAATGTACAAATTTTATAATAAGAAAGTTATATTATATTATAAGTAAAATTCGACTTTCACTGTAATCATGGATGTAATCCTAAACAAGATAATTAAAGGATATACGTTCTTGAACGAGGATTTAGCAGGTTGGTATTTCATATCGTTTTACATTGTATTTACACGTAAAAATCTGACTGTTGTGTCTTACTTACCTCTCCTGACTCGGTGGAAAAACAATATTAAACGATAAAAAACGACGGGTTCGTCTATACAATAAATAGTTTTCCATCTTTATTCACATGATTTACTATACAGTTCGCTACGAAAAATCGTAAGACACATCATTCAAAAGCGATGGTTTGTCCGCTATCTATTATCTATGGGAATGTGAATTAAAATACTAAGATAACATTACGGACGAGGAAAAATGTGCAGCGTTAATAGATTATTTTTACTGCATATAGTTATTTTTCATGTTGCTGTTAACAAATGCGTCGTATCTATATTGCTACATGCCACAGATAAGCGTGTTTTAATTTAACAAAATCAGAATATACAGAATGTTCGGCAATTAATGACAAAATATTCGTGTACAGATGCATATCAAACTGAATGAGAAAGTTCTCTACTGTGTTGTAAATCTTGGAATAGTTTCAAGTAATTAATTAAAGAATATCAGCGAACATGAGAGCACGAAAAACAGTAAAAGACAAGCTTCATAAGTAAGATTTCATCCAAAATGTCTCAAATCTATTGATAATCTTTTAGCGACTTGCTGATATTTTTCAATTCATTTTTTAAGCCAATTATATAAAATTTAAAACACGATGGAGGACTTATTAATTATTGCGAATTTCGCAAAATGGTACGTAATTTTCCAATTCAGTTTAATTCATTCTATACACGTACGGCCGCTTTGTCAAAACTTTCTGGACAGACTGTATATAAGCGTTGTGTCATTAATTGTCAAACATCCTCTACAGATCTCACGCATATTGATAACGGAAAAGGATTACATATTGAAATTTTATGCAAAAAGGGGTTAAGGACATATCGGATCATTTGATTTAATTCATCACATTCCTCGATATTACAGACTTCGGAATATCCTTTACAAAAATATTTCACCGTTTGCAGCCTGTGAAATTTATTAGTTTGAACAGTGAAAGCGTACCTTCGGCAGTGTGAGTATGACCCAGTTTTAAGGTCGGACAAGAACCACTTTCCGTAAAAACAAGTGGTTATAGCGGATTTCATACAAATACATCCAACTGCTAAAAGCATATTATTGAGTATGTTTAACTCATCCTATTCCTTCGCTTAATATATTACTTGTGTCGGGAGTGCAAAAAACGAGCCAAAAACGGGTCATATGAGGAGTAAAAACGGAGAAATATTTTTGTAAGGGAACGTAACAAGTGCTTTCAAAAACGAACTTCAGTTCGTTACAAACGCCGCACTTTTAGCGCAAAACTGGCATAATAAGGAAAGTAGAGCTAAATATATTTGAAAAACATTGCGGAGTTAACCAAAGTGTTTATATTGTCTTTTTGCCTTTAATCATAACTTCCCCTCGTAGATTTCGTCCACATATACTCTTACGTTAATATTTTAATATAATATAATATAATGTATTATTAATAAGTATAATCTCAATATATAAAAGCATGATGAGATGTCTTCATTCTTTTTCGAATTATCTTCATTATTCCATTGTATTCGTTACTTTTTATGTAATCGTCATTACATACTTAATTAGCCGTATAATTATTATTGCATATCGAACATGTAATTATACAAGATACTAAAGTTTAATCTTTTTTAAATTACTCATAAACGCTTCAAATACACAGGCCGATATCAATTTTGATCCCCAGACTGTTACAAATGATCCTGAAGATTTTTGATGCGCTGAAACCAAATGTGCTGTCAAAAATACTCCATCAGATATCTTAACCTAGAAGCCATTTTTAATCATTTTTATATTAAAATAAGTCTGAAATGAAAAGTGATAAGCCGATGGACCGCCGCATTCGAATTCAGCAAGAAAAAAATCTACTGTTAGATACAAATAAGTTCGGTGCCCTTTTTATATGAATTTGACATTTATTTACAAAAAACGAATTACATGTCAATCCTGAAAATAATCTCTATTATTTGTGAGACACTTCTGCCATCTTTCAGGCAACTAGCGAATCTTCTTTGGAAAAAAAAGATGGTTGTAGGATGTTAAAAACCTTCGGGATCACTTATACAAGTCTGAGAGTCAGAGCTAAAGTCAAAATTTGTCGGCCAGTGTAATCGTTTAAATAAATAACTAACATCAGACCGATAGTGTTTCTAATAGTATTACTTATTTTTTCCAAGATTATCTTTTCATTTTGTAAATTGTTGATTATTGAAAAATTAGGGCATCCATTTTGCCAATGCGAAACCGCATCCTTTTATATATCAACATGCAAACTATGGTACATGATTCATCGAGATATTAATTTCTTACAAGTTTATATCAAAACATTCCAATGGAATGCAATACATAGCTCGTTTAAAAAAAATTCACCATGTACATTCATTTTAACTAGAATTTATTGATTTCTTCTACTATTGCAAGATCCACGTACCAAAGCTTTGTTTCTGATCGGCAATTTATGGTGTGTCCCGTCTCTGAGTATATTTTATACATATTTCGTAAGCGTTCTTGGACCAAAATTCATGGAGAAAAGGCAACCTTACAAATTGGACATGATACTGAAGATATATAACGTTTTGCAAATTATATGTAACTTATACTTAGTTCATTCGGTAAGTTATGTTCGCTTTTTTAACTAATTTCTTAATCCCCGATCTTTCACAAAGAAGTCAAAATAAGAAAGAACATTTCTGTTATTTAATCAGCAAATTGCACGATCTTAAAATATATTCAAATGTCAATATTTAAGGAGACAGCTTCCAAAATGTCAGAAATTTCGTAAACTTCTAATGTATTTTAAGGCTTCTGTGTATTCGCAGCAGCCATCTTACTTTATGACATCAGACGCGAGGAAACTCAAGTCCTGAATTCTTGCAGTACATTCAAATAAAAAGATACGCGTGCAAAATAACATTTCTGATCGATTTGGCACACTTGTAATATATTCCGAAAACTTTCCATTTGCTTGAATGATAAATAGCTGCAAAATTAACATGACAAAATTATGAGAAAAGATCAATTAAAAGGTAGAATTATATATGATGTTAATTTTACGGTAATTTATTGACTGTTGGAACAAAAGAAAAGTTTTCGAAGTGTTTTAACACATTCGCGACCGCTAACGTGAATTCACGTCTTTTCAAGCTCTATTCCTGATTGCCGCTGACGTGAATTCACGTTCTGCTTAGTTGGCTCACTAATCGTTAGCTGACGCGGCGCTTGCGGCAAATCGCCTCAGTTATGATTTGAAATACACTAAACAGACGCAGCCATTGAGCAAATAAGCCGTAATATTGTTGACTCATTTGTCTCAGTTGCAAGTTTGGACTTTGGGAGGGAATGAAAACAAAGGCAAGGAACAATAATCAAAACTTTCCTCTACTTTTCACGAATCATTTCGCATGAACAGTCAAATGCCAAAATTCAAAGTGAGATAACTAAGAAGGTTGCTCAAAATTTTATCAATTGGCTCACTGAGAGAGTACTTGCCGAAAGCGTCTATTATCACATGTATGTGTTCGAATAGGAGAGAGAAATATAATTTATATAATTCCGTTATTGACATTGTTTTATTTAGGTTGAATTTTTATATTTCAGTGCTTTCATACTGGATTTGTTAGCTGACACACGTATTTTGAACCCCGATTTTTAACGTGCCCTCTACGGCAGATGACGCTTGACTAAACTACCGTTATAGCACAAACACCTTGGGTCAAGCCTAGACTAATACTAGGTGACGCCACAGAACCAAATTTGGCGCGCAACTATGAAAAAGCATTCATTATTCAAAAACACTCTGGGGTACTTTTAACCCCGTGTGTCAGCTAAGGGTTTAAAAAATTTATCGTTATAATGAAAAATGAAGAAATATGTGCTGACGAGATTTTCGAGGTTGAATCCACAGAACTTCTTAATGATAGCGAGACAGACAGCGATATAGTAACGCAATTTACGCAAAGGTAAAACTCAGATAATACGAGGTCTGTTCAAAAAGTATCGCGAATTTTGTGTTTTTTCAAAAATTATTTATTTATTCATGAATATCTATTTTGTCTCCTTCAAAGTAATCCCCATCAGATATTATACACTTGTGATATTATACGTTTTTTCCAATCCTTGAAGCACTTCAAAAAATCATTTTTTGTGATCTTGTTCAGCTCTTCCTTTGATGCCGTCTTTATCTCCTCAATCGTAGCGTAGCGTCGTCTTTTCATGTGCCTCTTCAGTTTCGGGAACAAGAAAAAGTCACAGGAGGCCAGGTCTGGGGAATACGGTGGCTGCGGCATCATTAGTGTGTTGTTTTTGGCCAAAAACTCGCGCACAAGCAACGATGTGTGAGCAGGGGCGTTGGTACGAATTTCGCGGCGACCCGTCTCATGCCCAAATCATTAGTAAAAATCGAATGGCACGAGCCAATCGATATGTTTAGGTCCTCAGCAACTTCTCTAACGGTGATTCGACGATTGGCCAATACTATTTTCTTCACTTCATCAATGTTTTCGTCTGTTGTTGACGTGCTCGGGCGTCCGGCACGCTCTTCGTCGTTCACATCTTCTCGGCCCTCTGAGAACATTTTGTACCACCGATAAACNTCCAAGGTAACTTTACCATATGCCACAGTCAACATTCGGAATGTTTCGCGCACTTAATTTTGTTAGATTCTTTGATCCATTTTTTGGAATAGGCAAAAATCGAAGACGAGCCAAAACACGTCCAAGCAAAACAGCTGTCAAAGATAAACTGAATATTCAAAATGGCCGAACTTGTCGGCATAAGTGAGGGACATGAGTACCAATATAACGCCACAAAAAAATTGAAAATCGAATATACGTAACCCGCGGAAATTCAAAATTCGCGATACTTTTTGAACAGACCTCGTATAAGTAAAAATATAATTCACTAATTAATGACATGATGAAACTCGTCGTCTGTAATATGTAATCATAGTGTATATAAATATAGGAATCTGCATATTGTAATCCTTCATCGAAAATTAATACTTTGTTTCAGGATTACTCAACGCATTTGTCCACTCAGTAATGTATACCTACTATATGCTATCGTCCATGAAAATAAACATATCGTGGAAAAAGCATATAACTCAACTGCAGATGATTCAGTTCCTCATATTAATATGGCACTACTCCAAATTATTGTGGACGGATTGCGATTACCCGTATTGGATAACCATGGTAATGACAGTGCAAAATGTCGTCATGTTTATATTATTTGGGACATTTTATTACGATACCTACGTTAAGGCAGCAAATGTGCCGGCGTTACCGAAAATAGAAGCGAACGACGTTCTTGTGGGAAAGCTCGTCTCGAATGGCAAATTAAAAGAACAATAAATGCGCGTAGCGTATTTTCCGTTCGATTTTTCTGTCTTACTTTACTTTAGTTTTTCTATCACTAAGGTATCAAAATCAAAGAATTAAATTTAAATTTCATTCGTGACTTTAGAACTCACGACAAAGTTATTGCGTTTCACGTTGATACGATAGCATGATAAGTCTCTCAGCATCGATGTGTTGATAATCGAATGTATCAATTACATACTAAAACTATATTAGAATAATCGGACTATTGAACTTATTAAGTCGAAAGTATAAGAGTCGTATAAACAGAGAATAATAATTTTACTTATTATATTATATTAGGTTCTCATATTATGCAATCAAATATTAGAAATGAGAATAGGCTATTAATCCTTACAGAAAAGTGTTACTGCTTATAATAAATTGATAAGATTAGTGATAAATTATTTTTACCCAGTAATTTTATTATTCGCATGAATAATGCAAGCTCTATAAAGCTCTATAATTCAATTTATTCCTAACAACAGTGTTTTAAATATTCAAAATAAATAATTAATCACTACCTTAGCGGTAATAAATTTCTATATGATTACAATTAATTCCGGATTAATTGCCTTCTCTTTCGGGCAAGATAAGCAGCAATATTTAAATATTTCTTCTGTATATTAACAAAATGTTTGTTGTATAAAACCGCATATCAATGTACTAATGCTAGTTACTAATGAACACAATATACCAAAAAATGTCTATCTGTGTTTTTCCACTGTCCACATAGTAACTGACAGATTTTGTTGCGCAATATAACATCTGCTGTATCAGCAAATTTTTCTTATGTAACCGTTAAATATTAGACCTTCACAGACAAATCAAACCTCTCGAAAGGTCAATACTATTTGCAAACCAATACCGGTATTACAGAATTTGATGAAATATGTATATACGTGTATATACGCACATAATGCTCTTTCTCATTATAATACAATGAAAAAGTAGTGGGAATTTAAAGAAGGAAAACGTAGTCGGCACTCGCTTAAAAAGTTTAGTAGTACGCATTGGAAGACACTAGCAACAATAGTTAACAATTTTTATTTTTTACTGAGTAAATTATTGTGTATCAAGATAACTATTCGGGGAACGAGTATAGCAACATGTTCTTATAAATCAAAGAAAAAAAGAAAAAAGCAAAAAGTGAAGAGAGAAAGAGAGAGAGAGAGAGAGAGAGAGAGAGAGAGAGAGAAAGGGATATTTCACGATTTTCGTTGAAATTATCTGTCGACATCAACACGGAGGATAAGTGAATAGAGAACTTTGCGACTCAGATATACAAATTTTATAATAAGAAAGTTATTAGTAGAATTCGATTTTAATCATGGCTGTAACCCTGGACAAGATAATCAAAGTATATACGTTTCTGAATGAGGATTTAGCAGGTTAGTGTTTCATATCGTTTTATGTTGTGCTTACACATAAAAACCTGATCGCTGAGATTTTATCGTTCCTGACTCGATGAAAAAACGATATTAAACGATAAACAATCTTTCTTCATTTTATAAATTGTTAACCATTAAAAACTAGGCTGTTTTAACAGCGTAAAATCCCTTCCTTTTTGATAAGGATATTACAAATTGAGAAATTGAATTACAATACCCTTATTAATAAGGGTACATGATACAACGAGATTTCATTTTCTTACGACTTAATGTCGTAACATTCTCATGGAACGCAATAAATAGCTTATTTAAAGGAAATTCACTTTACTACTTTACACTTTCATTTTTACTGATTTTATTGATTTTCTTCTTCTATTGCAAGATCCACGTACCAAAGATCTGTTTCTGATCGGCAATCTATGGTGTGTTCCATTTATGAATATATTTTATCTTTTCTTCGCAAATAAAGTTGGGCTAAAATTTATGGAGAAAAGACAACCTTACGAAATAAACAGGATAATACAGATATATAACGTTTTGCAAATTATAATTAATTTATACCTATTTTTTATGGTAAGTCCAATTATCTCTGATCTTTTCCAAATCTTTGCCAAAAAGCAAGAATAAGAAAAAAAATTTTTGTCGTTTAATCGCCAAATTATGCGGTCTTACGAAAAATATTAAAAGATCAATATTTAAGGACACACAACTTCGAAATATCACAAATTTCATAAGCTTTTTAGTGCGTTTTAAGGCACCTATATATTCGTAGCAATCATCTTGTTTTATGACATCGGAAACCAGGAAATAAGTGCTTAGAATTCTTACGGTATACATATGTCCAAATAAAAAGATATAGCCACAAAATAACATTTCTGATCGATTCAGCACATTTATAAAATATTCCGAAAACGTTCCATTTGTTCGAACGATCAATAAATAGCTGCAAAATTAGCGTGACAAAGTTATGAGAAATTAAAAGTTAGAAAGCTGAAAAGTTTTAAAGTAGAGTTACATATCATGTTATTTTTATAATTATTCATTTAGCAAAAGAGTCAAGTTTTCGGAGTATTTTAAAAAAGTGTACTGAATTACAAATGTTATTTTGTAGGTATTATTTTTATTTATAAACGTATATTTTTGATTCATGAATATAAGAATTCTGAACGTTCTTTTATATCTGATCTTATCATACAAAGCGACTACAGAGAGGAGACAGAAGTCTTAATAATAAGATATATTTAGATGTAATATTTAAAATCTTTTTTAATTTATTCTGCTTTAGAAATTGGCATTTTTGTTGTATGACTTAGTCAATTAAATATATTACTCTTTTAAAAGAAATTATATATTTTTTATATTTACATAGGTATCATATGCAATGTGGTTAATAAATTTCAATTTTCGATGCGAACCTATAGATTACTCTAATACACCAAATAATATACTGGTAACTATACAAATTTAATTAATTAATTAGAAAGAGATTAAAATTGTTGTAACCCCTCCTTTATTTCACCTTTTACTTTCTCTCCTTTGCCTTATTGTCTTTCTCTCTTCTTCCTCTACTGATATTAACTTCATGAAATCTGCATTTACTTTTGTAAAGTAAACGATATCATAAAGTTATTATATATAAGGATTATCTTCGTTTTTCTCCTGCTTTAAGGTAAATATCTCTATTAGTGACAAAGTTATCTTATCATGAAAATAAATTAATAAATTATTATAATTGTTGGGATGCGGCGGGTTGAAGATGTACCACACTCGAGTTACACGAACGAAAGGAATACTTTTATTTGTTGACATTGCGCGTATACAATTATAAGAATCAGAAATAAAGAGGTGGGTTAAACATAAACCCGTGTGCATGCGACCAAGCAGTAGACTAAAGGGGAGAGAACCAAAAAAAAGGGATCTGCTAGACCTCCATCTAGCGACAAACATTGTCACTCCAGTGCTAGTCACCGGCTGAGCACAAGCACGCATAGATATACCATTCTGACAATAATAATACACATATTAAATTTATTTATTTATTTGTATTAGAATAATATATAGCTAGAAATAATAAAAAGAATAATAAAAAGAATAATAAAAAAATATGCGGAGTAGTTAACACTTTGCGATTCGCGGTTCATCCGAAGACGTTTGACTAATGTGTTTGAACTGATCGAAGGTATAATACGAAATTAGTCGCGCTTATTTGATTGATTTTCTTCTTATATAAATGTTGGTATTTAAAAAACTATTGAACCTAGCGTATTCGAAAAACTTTTATCGTAAAGTTAATGTCTGTCTCCATTATTAAACACTACAAATGTTAATTTTTCTGTAAAAGCTTTACTTTCTGAGATAATCAAAATCGTCTATTTTCAGCTGGAAAAAAGTCAAACATTCCCAAGGAACACGTGAACGTTCGAGGAACGTTCGCTTTACGTTCACTTGGTTTGGTTATATTCAAACAAAGTGGGAATGTTCAAAGAACATACGTTTTAGAACCTTTAATATATATCTCACGTAGCAAAAGTGTTGCAGTATCACAATTATGCTGCTCTGTTACATATTAATGTTGTTAATATATTAATATATTAATATCTGTTAATACGAGGGTGGATCAAATATAAACGAGATTTTTTTAATTGCGCGCTCGTCGGCGGCGTGAGGGGTCTGAAATGTTTTGGACAGTGGAGGGGGTCATGTGGAAGGCAGTAATAACGATGGCGCGCCACGTGCTTCTTACTCTCAGCAGCAATCACGATGAGCGAGAAAGAGGTACACCCCGCAGTTGCACAACGTGTTATTATTAAGTTTCTCGTCAACGAAAATGTAAATGCTGCTGAATTTTGGCGCCGTTTACTCCCACAGTTCGGGGAAAGAACCCTTTCATGGGCTCGGGTGAAGCAGTGGTGTAACGAATTTAAGAAAGGACGGGAGCGTGTTGAAAACATTACCACCGTCTCCGCACCAGCATCACAGCGCAGAACACCGAGGCTGTTCGAGAACTCATCGAAGGCGATCGGCACTTAACTGTTCTTGAAATCTCTCGGGAACTTCAGTTCGAGCTGCCTATTGGTCAANACGGCATTCCGAATAGAAGTGTGTTGCTTCTCCATGACAACGCCAAACTCCACACCGCAGCAGTAACACAACAAAAATTAGCCGATATGCACTGGGCTGTCCTAGAACATCCACCCTATTATAGCCCAGACCTGTCACCATGCGACTTCCATATGTTTGGGCTACTCAAGGAAGCCCTTGGTGGACAGCGCTTCACAACGAACGAGGAGGTGCAGTAGTTCGTGTGCAATTGATTTGATGCACGTCCGCGAACTTTTTATGATACCGGGATTAAAAAATTACCAGATCGTTGGAGGAAGCGTATAGATAAGATGGGGGACTATGTAGAAAAATAAGAAAAATGTAAATTAGAATTGATTTTGAAAAACATGTGGTTTTTTTTGCAAAAGGCTCGTTTATATTTGATCCACCCTTGTATTAATATCTTTTAGCAATTAATATATTTTTTAAATAATTTGTTATAAATAGACATAATCAAACTTCAAGATGTATATATTTTAATTAAAAAATGGAATTGTAACAGAGCAGCAATTGTGATACTGCGACACTTTTGCTACGTAAGATATATATTAAAGGTTCTAAAACGTATGTTCTTCGAACGTTCCCACTTTGTTTGAATGTAACCAAACCAAGTGAACGTAAAGCGAACGTTCTTCGAAAGTTTACGTGCTACTTGGGTTGTTTTGACACAGCTACGAATCGCTATTTATCTGTTTCGCATGTTGCCAACTGCTTAAAACCGCATATGTTTCGATTTATCGATAAAACCAATGCTGTCAGATAGAGACGTATAGTGCCGTCGACGGAGCGCATCGTCGAAATAAGTACAACGGCACTATGCCGTTGACAGACAGTAATGACAAAACGAACGCGACGGCATCATGCCGTCGACGAACCGCAATGTTAAAATAATTCGTAAAAATAAAAGTAATTGGTAAATAAAATAAATGTTATATTTTAATATAATTCTGTAGAGAACACATTTCTTATGTTATGTAATAACAATTCTTATATTATATAATAATTATGTTATATAATAACACATAAAATTAATTATTTTAATTTAAATTATTGCTAAAAGAAACATTTAATTTTAGTCAATTTGACTATTTTATATGTCAAAATTTATAATATTATTTGAAGATTCACTTTAATATATGATAATGTTAAAATAAGTTTAAAGAAATTATTAAATTGACATCAATTTAACATATGAAAACATCACAAAAATAATAACATATAAACTGTGTGTTAATTTGATATTGAGACATTAGTCAAAAATCGATAATTTGAGAGAATTTTTGGACGAAAGTTTTTTTTACTGTAATTACTGTGTAATTATATTCGAAACTTAATATAACAAATAATACATAAAATTTTTAGTTAAAACACATTTTTTAGAATAAATATAGGCTTATATTAATTGACTTATATTAACAAGAACAGATGTGATTATCACAAATTAGGATATTGTCACTAACTGGGGTATTTACTTTATATGAAAATAAAAAAAGAAGAAAGGAATAAAGCCACGTTATATATTTTGTTATCAAACAGATTTGCAGGTTGACTTGGTACTACTTTTTGCTTAAGATCGTCGATTGGCTGGACACAATTTTCTTTATACTTAAAAAGAAACAAAATAATGTGAGCTTCCTTCACTTATATCACCACAGTGCCGTAGTATTAGGCACTTGGATAGGCGTAAAATATGTTCCTGGTGGTCAAGCTATACTTTTAGGTATGTATAACGTTGCGGTGGTAAATGAGATCGCAGAATATTAAGATCTTTATAAATATCAGTACTCTCTCGGAATTATTTGCAACAGTGTACTTAAATTTTCGAAAAAAATTGCCTTTGGGAAAGAAATAGTTTTTGGATTTTATTTTTCGAAAAAGAACCGTGAGTTTGGGAAAAATACTATTTTTATCATACAGACATGCTTGGATCAGATTTCTCTGTCTAAAATTTTTAGCACACACCAGAACATAGACGTGCGTTATTTAGTTAATTACTCTATTTAAAAAATTATATATAAATTAATAAAATTATATATAAATTAATATATAAATTATAAATTATAATTATTAAATTACTCTATTAAATGGAAAAAAAATTTCAGTTTATGTAATTAATAAACACTACACAGAACAAAATAATATCTGTGTTACTGCAACCGAAAACATTCAACTGAACATTGAACTATATTAAAACTTAAAATAAATATATACGATTGACTGAGTTGAAACTTGTTGCAAGAAACTTTCTACCCCTACAACTGAAGTTTTTGTCTGGTAACACACACATTGATTTTTCATTCTCTAAACATTTATATGAAATATTTTACTCTCCAATCTAATCTAACATAACCTATATTTTGTTGCTACTAATAATAAAAATCTCGAAAAATCGGAAAAAATAATATTTAGAAATATATAATAATATTAAGTAATATTGGTATAATAATAATAATTTCTTTCAAAAAAGAATTATGTGAAGTTATGACATTATTGAAAGTTATTTTCCGATTCAACTCAATATACGGAAGATCAAAATGTAACTTGCTATTTAATGATGCGATGAAGTCCATTACATACATATGTAATCGTGATTTATGTTATAAGCGTGCGAATGGGACGTGTGAAGCACCCCAACATTAGTTCTCGATAGTTCTAATTAAAGTTCCAGCTTTCTTTCGAAGAATATAGGAATACTCTTATACTCATAAAAAGAGTTCCGGCGATTAACACTAAAAAAAAGCAATTAAAAAACGGGGTGCTAACTTTACACCTAACGTCAAGATCGGATAGTTCTGAATAGCTAATTTGATGTATTTCGAAGAGTTCTAGAATTCCTGGTATAAAAAGAAATTTTTCGATTTCTTTCAAAAATTTAAAAAATTCGAAAAAATTTGGTATCAATCCCGAATAGTTTTGAATAGTGCATTTTTGATTCCTCTCGACGAGATCTAGAGTTTCTGATAGGTAAAAAATATAAAATATTTATAATTATTTAAAAAATCGACATTGAAAGTTACTAGAGGCAGACATTTGAGGTCAAATATCTTCTGAAATTGTTTTAAGAGTTCCAGTAGTTCTGGCGGTGTTTTTCGATTGTACTCAACGAGTTCTACAAGAAATTATCATGGTTTAAGGCGATCCGACCAATATTTAAAAAGATATTCGACCTCAAATGTCTGCCTCTGGTAACTTTCAATGTCGATTTTTTAAACAATTATATATATTTGATATTTTTTACTTATCAGGAACTCTAGATCTCATCAAGAGAAATCAAATGCGCTATTCAGAATTATTCGGGCTTGATACCAAATTTTTTCGAATTTTTTAAATTTTTGAAATTGAAAAATTTTTTTTATATCAGGAACTCTAACTCTTCGAAATACATTAAATGACCTATTCAGAACTATCCGATCTTGAGTTAGATGTGAAGTTAGCATCCCGTTTTTTAATTGTTTTTTTTTAGTGTTAATCGCCGGAACTCTTTTTATGAGTATAAGAGTACTCCTATACTCTTCGAAAAAAAGCTGGAACTTTAATCAGAACTATCGAGAATTAATGTTGGGGTGCTAACTTCACACGTCCGTGCGAATGTAGGAATTTGCACTTTTTAACTTTCATCGAACGTTAATCTTGTTTCAGGAATATTGAACACGTTCATCCACGCAATAATGTATACATACTATCTGCTGTCATCTATGAAAATCAACGTGCAGTGGTGGAAAAAATACCTTACCCAGCTGCAGATAATTCAGTTCTTAATACTAACATACCAATTCTCTCTAATATTCGTGGTGAATTGCAATTATCCGCAATGGATTGCGATAATTGCGGTAACGCAGAATGTCACCATGCTCTTATTATTTGTGGATTTTTATTACAAGACGTACCTTATACCAGCAAATACAGTGGCAGCATGGAAAATTAAAGCGAACGACGTTTCCGCTGAACTTAATCCTAATGGAAAATTAAAAGAACAGTAAGTGCGCGTAGCGTACTTTTCACTTGTTTGGTCTTTTTATTTTATTAACATTAATATATCGTGGCGACAGAATTAAACGTTATTCTCGCTCAGAACTTAGAAATTCGTAACGAAGTTACTGCATTTCTCGTTTGTAGAGTAGCCTAAGTAAGCATAAGTAAACGTATATGTCTTTCATAATCTCGAATGTAAGGAAGTCCATAATGAGAAAACTAAGGTTTAAATGAGTTTTAAATATATTAAAAATAAACAAATCTACTTGCTTTTAAATCGAAATATTCTTTAGACTATCTTTTATAAAAAAAAACATAGGTTTTATAGAAAAATAATAGTTTAAAAGAACGATATTATTATTTTACTGAAAGTATGCATCAATCTCATTATACTTCGTATGCGGGTATAGTGTAATAACCTCACAAAACTTGTTTATTTCTCTGATATTAATGTACAAATCTTCTTAAAAATGACTTAAAATATGTAATATATGAAGTAACCTCAGTTTAATGGAAGTTAGGTAAAAATGTCTATACTCCTTGTTAACCACATATTCATAGACTTTTTTTCTTATTCTTCTGTAAACACTGTTTAAACTTTTTCGCTACTATGCGCCACTATAATGGCTTCTCACTAAGTGATCGTTTAAGACAACGCGTCTACTATGACTTCTCTCGAAACAATCGCTTAAGACGATACGCCTTTATATAGTAGTTTCCTCCTTTACCATGAATTCTGAGCCAGAAATAGGTTCCTGTTGCTACGAAGCAGTTTCCTGCTTATTTTTTAATAACGTTAAAACAATGTATAAAGTGTCAGAAACGTTGTTATTCTTTGATAATACATCAAGGAAATAGATCTATATCTGTATTTATAATTATTATTTTAAAAGCGTCACACAATTGTGTTGTTCGCGTTAAAAGTGACAAAAAGTGAAGATCATAATCTCAATATGATATGATATGCGATGTAAAATTGTGTATAAACTTGTTTTATGACATATCACATGCACTTATATCATTAAATATTAAAAACGTTTATGTTTATTATACAATCAAAAACTATTCATTTATAATTTATTATATATAAATAAATATATACATGTGTAACGGGATAACTCTCGCCTAGTCGGAAGGTGGCTCGTCGAAGTCCAGGGTTCGGTATAAGGTGAGGAGGAGAGCGAGAGAAAGTGTCAGCTTGGCGTAGTTCTTCTTAACCGTTTGAGTGCCGCGCGTCTCTGCTGTTTCCCCGTCCAAACGTGCCAAGGAGCGCTTTTTCGCTTGTCTTATTCCCCATCCAGAAATGCCAAACGGCGCGATAGCGCTTGTCTTATTCTCCGATGATTGCATCCAAATGTCAGATTGCAATTAAAATTCGTTCTTTTATCCAGTTGTCTCATTATTTCAGTTTTACCTAAAACGGAATGGTAGCCGTAAAGTCGCACATCGACAGAAGCCGAACGTGTGCCCGGTTATCGGCTTCGCAGCCTAGAACGCCGGTACTTTTCGAGCGAAACAGAAGAAGCGCAAAATCGCTCCTTCACACTCAAACGGTTAAGTCCTATTGCCTCTTTGCAAAAGCGTGGGTGACCTCTCTCATATGTCTGTGGTGCGCACGCTGATTATACACAGGCATATGGGACCCTATAACAGTTCAACGCCGATTCCGAATGGCAAGATTTTTAGAGAGGCGTTCATGGCAAAGATACTCTTCGGTGATTTGCTATTTGCCTTCCGAGAGGAGACGAGCGTAAATACTTTTGGTTTCCGTCGGGATCGAATCTGGGACCGTTAGTATGGTAGACCACATATGTGCACTGTCGTCTGTCATGCCACACGTTCGCTCTCGCGTAGTTATATTTATTTACACTATTACACAATATACAAGTAGGCGATTTGGCGGGGCTATTACCGTAGGGTGAGGGAAAGTGCCACAGGATGAGACAGCGAGCCCTCAAGGGACTCGCCTGTGGCGTCCGGGTGGTTACTGCTGGGTCGGTTCGGGGCATCCGAGGTGCGTCAACGGGTGTGTCCGGGGTGCCTTTGCCTGCGCTGGCAACGTCCTGCGACTAAGTAGTAGTCCATGGGATCTCGCCTTGTCGGTTCGGATAGATGGGCTTCGGACGGCCGAAGATTCTCTTTCTTAGAGTTCATGATGTGGCGACTTTTATCCGTTGGCGGATTGAGTCAAAGGTTCCCTCCTTGGCGGTGGTGTGGTGCAGCACTTTACCCGAGAGAGGTTCACTGTTACCGGTTCCCGACTTATTCCCTCGGCCTGATCGAGCAAATAAGAGGTCACACACCCCGATAGTGGTTGACCGAGCCTCTTGCAGTATAAATGGTGAGATGAGGTTGATCGACTCTCGCCTCGGTGAAGCTGCCCCCCTTCCAGAGTTAACTTTCCGTACTTGGTTTACCACCCGAGTGATCTCCATGCAAGTTACTCTTGCGATCTCACCGGAGAACGAGGGGCTTCCAAGTGCGCTGCGTGGCCTACTTGTAGCCCGCGCGCCGCGATCTCGCCGGCGAGCGAGTGGGATCGGACGTACACCGCCTAGCGGTGCTCCGAGCGTACCACTCGCGTGCGTCTTGTAGTAACATCGTTCTCAAGAACGGAACTGCACATATGCCGCCTAGCGGCGCCTTCACAATATTACTCGCGGTGTTCGGTGACTAGTCGGCGCGTGATGTTGCGCGCCCTTCGGCCTAGGGTGTTGTCGACCGGGTAACGAGGACCCCCGGGCGCTACACATGTTACACATGCAAATTCTATAAATTTATCAATTATTAATTTACATCAGCTTAATTACAGAGATGGTTTGCAGTCATTAAATATCTATAAAAAATTATCCTTTTCAAAAAAAGAGAAGGTTAAAAAGGAGCCAATTACATGCGAATAAATGTTCCTTTTAAATATTTAAATAAAAATTTTGTTTCTGAGAGAAGGTTATTATGTTAAACATTAATTCTGAGCGATATTAATTTAATCTTGTATTCTAAAAAGAAATAATGATATCAAGAGGTTAACGCAAAATGAAAATGATTAGAATTTCAGTTACCAATTTCATAAACACATGTTTTAGCTACTAAAAAATATGCAAGTTAAAAATATTGAAAAGTGTTGTATAAAACTGTCAGAAAAGTCTCTGTATAAAAATTTAATCTTATACTTTCTACACAAAAATAATATATAGAGGTTTACATGATAAATTAACAACTTTAAATTAAAAATTATTACACGAAAAAATAAAAATATTTGAATTGTTGAAGTATTGAAAAATATTTATAATGAAACATAAAAGTTATTACACGGATTAACGTAACATCTTAATATTAAATATGAGAAATATAAGAAATATATATATATATATATATATATATATATATATAATATTGAAAATTAAAATAATTAGTAAAATAAATTATTTATATAAAAAAAAAATTAAAGACTTATACAAAAAGCACTTGACGTACCTTTTTTAAACAATACATGGATCATTAACAATAAATATTATTATTATTATTTCCGTGTAAACGTGCCGATAGTTCTCCTATTTTAGTTAGACCCATTCATTTTAATTAGTCGTGTGCAAACGACTAGGTTTCTCTACTATTTTATTACCCGATTGTTCCGAATATCGGACCGAGCGACAATAATCATGGCTATGATGATCGTGGCGTATCGAAGATCCGCTGCTCTGTGACCTACTTCTTTTTTAAGCGCATGTCCTAAACGAGGACAGCTAAAAGGAAAACGGAGAAGACGGAAAGGAGCGCGTAGCTCCAGCAAGTCCCGCTTTTGTTACAAAGATGCCGCCGCAGGTGCCGTTATGTATGTAAACCCAATACACGATCTTTCGCCCATGAAGGTCGTCGAGATGTCGATTTGCAAAGCAGTACAGTTGCGCACGCGTAGTAAATCCGTAGGATTCTTTCATTAATAGCAACATGTGCAATCAATAATGCAGGAGAGTGGGTCAATAGGAGTTTATGCGTGAACGTTGTAATGCAATATAAGGAAAAATTAATATGTCACACTTTCGAATGAAACATTTCAACGAGCCAATGAGAGTTGACGCAAATTGATCGTTGCGTATAATTTATTTTAGTGCCTTATCGGGTAAACTTTTTTCATATTATTTATATTATTTTTAATATGCTATAAATGTAATCGGTCGTAATTTTCGAGTTATCTTTTAATATTAATATTACCATCTCACCTCTTCTTTAATGTTGACCGCAGATTTTCTATCTTAATGAGGCAATAAAATAAATTATTCGCAACAATCAATCTGTATCGGTTTTCATTAGCCTGTTAAAATATTTTACTTTATTGGAAATCTAGAAATCTCTTAACTCGTAGATTGCCGTTATTTTTGAGCGTAAAGCCCACGAGGCTAACATCGCAATAACTGTATATATAGTCAGAATATAAAATAAACCATATGTCCAGTAAAAAGATAATGATATTTGTCCTCCTACTTTTCTATATGTAATCTATATGTTATCTTTACATAAGTAAATATTCTTGAGAAACTGATGCGATAACAATCACAATTAAGCATGTATTGCTTTCCAAAACATCACGAAAAATGTATGTAAGTTTAATCATTTCATAATAAATATATTATGTTAATTTTGTATTTTATATTAAGATATATTATGTACAAATGATATTTTATTGTTTTCTATATTCTATAAATAGTTCACAAATTTATTCCTATCTCAGTTATTGAAATCACTCATACACGTGATGTGGCGATCTAAACGTTAAGAATCATTATTATCATTCTTTTCATATAACCTAGTGTAATCATTAATTAGTCTAGACGTTTTGTTGCTATCTCAGGTTTTTTTAATGGGAGAATTAAGTAACGATTACACTGAGCTGCTTTAAAGAAATGAAACGTTAACTGTTCCTCATGCACTTCTACTCCACTATAACCTGTGTATATAAACTCTTATTAGCCTCTTCTATTACTGATAGCGCATCAACAGTGGCGATAATTTTTTTGCCGCTATTAATCTGAACATAAGTCTCGAAACCAGTCAATTATCAGTGGGGGTAATCATCGTGATGTAAATCTAGGACATCATGTAAATAAGACACAGTCGACAACATGTTTGACAAGTATCGCGTAAAGAAGATCAGTTGCATGAGGTACCACTATTTGTCGTGTTTGCCTTGTTATTACATCAAATATCTATTTAATTAGATCCTTCGCGTTATCTCTACTACAGCCACATTTCCGTCTGTATTGTTAAGTTGACCGAGATATTTTCGCATTGCGCTCGACTTAATTAGTCGTTCATCCGAATTGCATTCCTTTCAAAGATACTCGGGTTTTTGAATACTCTAGAAATATATATATATATATATATATATATATATATAGAGAGAGAGAGAGAGAGAGAGAGAGAGAGAGAGAGAGAGAGAATAGTTGATCCTACTTCCCGGCAGTAAATCGTTAGCTTACTTTCGAGGTAAGAACGACAGTAGGCGTCGTATGAACATTCGTAGTCGATTTTGCTCGTAACATCTTCGGCCTCTTATTGGTCTGGCGGTCGTCTCGATGATCTCGGTCGAGCCGTAATTATTTTACATAACGGCGACGAGACGTCCGACTCTTACCGCACGTTTAGTCACCGTTCACCGCATACCGGTCGGCCTGAGTGGCGCGTCTCGTTTCTAAAGTGCGATGAAGTTTACCGAAGCTATCGAGATCAGATTCATGCGCAATGCTGTTTTTTTTTGCAACGCTTTACGACCGTTTCTCCCGTTATTAAACAACACGTTACACATCCGCATTAACCGGGATATCGCCGGTAACTATAGAGAGGCTCGAAACACCGGACTTTCTTCATCGAGGCGACGACTTACGATTCATTTGCGCGGGGTGAAAATTATACTTCACTCGTCTACCGAAGTCTATACTTCCACCATGTGTTTCAAAAGTCCTCGGCCATTGAAACTGAGTGTTGACACGAATAAAGCATTTTTCAAGACAGAAACACGTCGATATAAAACGAAACGTGTATTCCACGGGGAGAGATTTTTTTCAAATTGACTCATTAATCTGTACAATAGTCTCGTAACCGTCTCATTCGAAGTTACGACGCCCCTAAATGACTTTCCAATGTCGCGTTCGGCGGCGTATCGATCTCTAAAAATTTGCGTTACGACTAATAATAATTAAGTTACAAAGCGATCACGCAATAATAATATTCTACTATTTCTACCGGTATACTTTCCTACTTCCTACATTCTCCTTTTACCATCATTATATCATCATAATTACAGGGAAAATCTCTAGTTGCATTATTATTCGTGTTATTTCTTATAAAAAGTACAAAATAAAGATTCGCGATCGCGCAATTATGTCATTTATTCAACCATCGCCTTCATCTCGAGGAGGTACCTACGATCTATCGCGGAGAGATTCCGCGACTCGCTATGCAGCCGTAAAATCACCGCCACCGTTGGACGTCCGGCCGGTGGTATTCTCAAGTGATCAGCTCGGAGTTAAAGGAGTGGAGCGTTTCAAGACACCTTACATCTAACGGTGTCATCGGCCGTATTTTCAGTCTTCCTCTATGACCATCAAGGAATTAAACGCCTCCGCGTGGAAGATCCTCATTCACGATGATATATTGATCCTCGCAACTGAACGTCGCGGCACAGATCACCTCACTGCAAACCGCAATTCTCTGCAATCGTTGAGCAATGGTGATACCGTTGACGTAGTTTTCCTTTCAAGTGGGTTAATTAGATACCGATCTAGCATGTGCGATTGTTTGCGAACTAGAGCGACAGCGGCGGTGGCTATATATCGAATCGATGCAAAAGTTCCTGCCATATATTAATTGTTTCTTCACAGCAGAAAAAATTTGTGTTAAGAACAGCCCCTGAAATCTTGTTCTAAATACATATTAGGAAAGCATCAACCCGATGCATATTGTCGATACACGAATCGGCGAAGCACATGCGCACTTTTGCCGTACTTAGCAATCGCCGGTATTGCGTCTCCCGGCATAGTGAAATTCCTCGTTTAATTTGAAGTCGGTCGTTCCTCGATAAAAACGTCCGCTGGTTGTCAAGTAGTTGGATTTGGAAGCTTTGCAAGCGATCGAACGTGAGGTGATTTTCATAAACTGAATTACAACGCTACCGCTGTAAGTTTCGACGATGCTACTGCATTCGGATGGATCATGTTCGAGCCGAATTTGACGTACCGAGGCACATCGGTTTGTTATCGGAAATTTTACGCGAACGTTGAAATTCTGTTGAAGTGCGAAAGATTATATCTTTCTATAGATGGACGCTCGATATAAATAGATACAAAAAGGTCTGTGAATCAGAAAACGAATGGAATCTGATATACAAAGGTATTTCTGAAAATTATTGTGTCAAAGCGCTCATATGTGCCTCGTTACATCTTGAATATACTTTCTCCACACGTTTACGCCAATACTTGGCTCGTTTATTCCGGTCAAACAGGAAACGACCCGACACCAAACATTTCAATCTCATCCTTCTTCTTTTCCTCTGTTCTCTTTTAATACAGGTAACTTTTGTTTCCAATTTTGCAGCACTCCTAATGATGCATTAGCGCATACATATAATAGACGTGAGGAAATTACACAAGAATTAATAAAAATATAAATTTAAAGGAACGATTTTCAGACTTAACTATTTGAGAACAATAAGTAACATACAGAGAACGAGAGAAATAGAGAGAGAGAGAGAGAGAGAGATCACACGTAAAAATAATTTTCCCTGCACGACGTATTTAATATTTATTAGACAATTGTAAAAAGTTCTTTTTGTATATTAATTCGTTAAAAGTAACTTGCATAAATTTACAGGAAAATCTCGATGTTATTACAAATAAGTTACGGCATCACCCATGTCTTTACATCTCAAACGCGCTTATCTTACCGTACGCTTCTTGCTTGTTCCGCTCAAATTTACATGCTGCGTCAAACATTTGAATAAAATATTTTATTCGGAAAAGCGAGGAGATTCCGCGGGAAAACCCGCAGCTCTGTAGTCTCGACATTAACTCTTCGTTTACCGAAGTAATTGTTTATGTATTGTGTCGAAGGGAATTTTACTTTTAGTAAAATAGTTTTACCTTTAATAAAATAGTTTTACTTTTAGTAAAATACGAAAAGAGTTTTACTTTTAGTAAAATATTTTTACACAATAATGATCGATTATATATTTTACATAATTTAAACGTTTTAGCGTACGTTCATTACTTAACTTTGTACATTTAAAAAGTGTCCATTGTTCGGGCGATCATTTCTGATCTTTATCGTTTAAATAGGTTTTCCTTGAACAGTTTTCTTTGAACAGAATCGTCAGATACTGAATTTACTTATCTCATCCGTCCATATTTACCTAAGAGTCACTAACAATTTACTTTACTACGTAAAGCAGAAACGACGAGGGAACGAGAGACACGGTATCGCGATACTTTCTTTCCAAGCCGAAAGCAAAATCGTTTTAATGTCTGTCCTGTGGAACATTCTGATTACGTCGAACAAGTTACATATTACGAGCAAGTCTCCGTCGGAGATACAAAATGGGGTAAAAAACCACGCAATAACATGTTAATCGAGTATTAATACACTGCAAATCGTAAATCAGAAAAGTTGTCAAGCGAGGCCGCTAAAATCGAATTAAATCATACGCCATTGTCATAAGCCGTTGGACATAGAAAAAATATTTTATCAGCGGGACAATTAGCAGACAATTTTCAGATAATTTCGTCGAAGTCATGGTTAGTTGTTATCATTGACGTAACCACACTCGCCCCTTTTAATTGACATCTTATCACTTGGTATAAAAGCAGCGTAAAGCGTTATCCGTTTAACTCACGCGACATACACTTTTTACGGTCATCCTCTGGAATTCATTCACCGTTCTCCTTTCCTTCGACGTGTACTCTTCTACTTCTCTCTTCCACCGTTCCCACCTTGCCGTCGTCTCTCCTTTTTTCTCTCTCGTGCGCGTCACGCAGGCCCCAGGCGTACCCTTTCTCCTTTTCTCGATCCCTTTTTCTTCCTCACTTTTCTATCCCTCCGAGGCATCAGCCCAATCGGAACGGGCCGTTTGATTAAAGACCACATTCTTATTCACTTACTCGCCTATCCGCACCCTCTCCGCGCGCCTCACCTTTGGATACCTCGCCTCGGTACCGACTGCAATATTGGGAACGTCGGAAGTCGAGTTCGACAGAACGTGCGGTGGGGATCGAAGACGCATTTGCAGGACAGTGGTCCTCTCGGTGGGCACGCAGCAGAGGACGGTCAGTTTTTGGTACGCCGCGTCTCTCTTCTCATCGACGAGACACGGATAACCGGATACCGGGGTGCCACCGAGGTTCACCGATACTTTCGCGCCTACATTTCGATACACACACACACACAGTGCGGTCCTGCTAAGTTCGCGTCGGTGAATGACCAATTTTTCCCAACACTCTCATCGCTCGCTCGAGAATAAGTAAGTATATAACCGCGATTCGCGAGAAACTCCAAACTTCTTCTTACGCGAACAGGAGGATCTCAGTTCGTATGATCGAGTAGAATTAACTCGGTGGAGATTCGACGAAACGATATCTCCGATTTACCGCGACCGAGAATATTCGCCGAAATATTCCAGCTGTATCGAGACTCGGTTAGGGAGATAAGCGGGGACGATTAAATGAGGAGAAAATTCCCGCAAGAATTCCGGTTTCCTGTTCCTACGACCGAGTTTCCCGTTTGGTCCTCCGTGTTCTTACCGAACAACGGAAAATTCAGTTACGGGGAAAAAAAAACAATTCCGTTGGTGTAAATGAATTTTCCGTTGCCTGGGGACCAGGCGAAAATTCTATTGTGGGGACAGAAGGATTCTCGCAGGAGGCCTCTACTCAGCCAATTGTTCTTAATTGTCTCAATCTTGTGTTTTAACGCAGCTGAATGTTCGTACACGGAAAGAAGAGCTCAGTTCCTGCAAAGGGAATAGCGGCTAGATGAAAACTCGGTGGCAAGGAATGAAAACTCGCCGACTGAAAGTGACATCTTTGTTACCGCGGCTGAGAACACTCGTGTGAATGTTCAGCATGCATTAGAGCTCGATTGAGAGGCGACTGAATATAATTGACCGAGTAGAAACCTTCTACGGGAATGTCCCTACATCCGAATTTTCCGGTGACCGTCTGGTCCCGAAATAACGAGAAATCCATTCGCACCAACGGAATTTATTTTCGTGTGGGATTACTCTCAATCGCAGTAACGGAAATAACACTTCTTGTCGTTGAGTTTTCGTCCCTATTCTCTTGCAGGAACTGAGTTCTTTTTCCGTGCAAATGAGTTGGTTTTTTTATGCGCATGTGACCGGTGCTGAAATTCTTCCCCTGCTCCTATTATACAGCTCCTAATTTATATATCGGGACACTATTATTCATTTTAAGAGTTTCACACCCGCGCCAGAAGCACCAAGGCGAAAGAAGTGTCTAATAAAGTAGACTACGTTTAAGGCTGCGTTCGGAAACTCTACTCCCAAAGTCAGAGCAAGGTGAGCGGTGGTGAGAGATAGAGCAGACCTCGAGTAAAAATAATTTTCGAACGGTAGACTACGTGAATTACAGTTGTCACTCACTCGTCATGTCAAAAGAATATCAAATCGGTCGTTTATTTTCCTTGCTATATAATTTACGTCTTCCATGAATTAATTTTACCGATTTTATCGTGTCGCAAATTAATACCGTTTCCTCGTTGATTCGATTTGATATCACTGTGAGAGCATTCTAAAATGTATTAATGAATTAAATATGTATAATTCATGTAACGTGAACTATAACTATAAATCTGTGCCGTCAGCGCATTTCGAAGCACATTTTGAATGATATCGCGTCAGACCGAGTCTATAAATGGAAACCCTTTTAAAAAATTCCCGTCAGATGCAACGAGTTACCCGAATCCACCCTGAAATTTTAGGGTGGAAAATTTTTCTCTCGGGCTGTATCCAACTGAGTTTCCGAATCGGCATTACCACCTTGGTATCATTCGAGCGGCGTGAGTCTCCACGGGTGCATCCGGGTGAAGTTTTCGAACGCAGCCTGATAAAAATACGTGAAAAACACGCAAGAGTAATTCGTTCCTCACGAATCATGTTCACGACCAGCTTTTGTAAATCCCGCGCGTTAATGATGCGTGACAATTTCAAAAGAACACACTCGCTTTATATTTCAGATTTCTGCGACGTGAACGTAACCGCCGCCAGCATGGCTAATTTCATAAAGCTCGTAATCAGCAATTATAATGAAATTCTAGATTTTAAAGGTAACTCCTAACATCATAAGAAAAAAAAAATATCCTATTTGCTGTACGAGGAATTATCAGGAAAACATATTATCTCCTTTTACATATCCTCGCTCGTACACGCGCACGCGATAGGTATACTTTTTCATTGTAATTTGTGGCGCATTATCATGGTAACAATTTAGCGAAGCGCGATTATTCTCATAATTTACATCGCATGATTCTTAACAGTTCCAAAAGCTTCACTTATCAAGTTAAATATAGTATGTTGATAAGGTAAAGTATTTTCTTTAAAACTTAAAAACGCGTGCGAGAAAAACGTTGTCTGTCAAATAAATTTCATAACCAGTAGGGGGTCACAACTAAAAACTTTTCATCCGGAACGTTTTGAGACACTTTATTTAAAATTCTGAACAATCCTATGTGCGTAACAATTGTTTCACACGATACACGTATATCACTTTTAAGATTGTAACAAGTTATTTTTATAAGTTTCGACAAATGTATACGAGAAGTATTCGTCTATATTTTATTATTCTATTTGCCGTATATTATAAAATATCTCAACGAGCGCGCAAACCATTACAGTAATTAATCGTCCCTCGAATGTGCAGAGAAAATTGTTACGTGTTTGTATGTGGATAAACGCGCGCATTCTACAACTTTTCCTACTGATCAAATCAAATGCCGAAAAGGAGTAAATTAATAATTAGTTAAATCTATTATGATAATTTCTCCACTAATTATATTCTATTATAGATCCTAAAGTGGATACGTGGCCTTTAATGGGGTCTCCTGGTCCATTGCTGTGTATCATGGGGACATACTTGATTTTTGTTCTAAAAGCCGGGCCAAAAATGATGGAGAAAAGGCCAGCTTTTCAAATGAATACTATTTTAATATTGTACAATGGGTTCCAAGTGCTCTTCAGTATTTGGTTGACAACACTGGTGAGTCTGAATTTATTTGCGTCTGCATACGCGATATAACTTATTGATATTTAATATCTTGAAATAAAAGAAGCATTAGTATTTAGTGTCTTGAAATAAAATTAAACAAATTTGTTGTGATGAATATGAAATTTTAAGATTCCACAACGCACGTTTGACGAACTATTAATGATCTAAGAGTGATCGAGGGTTTAATTAAGTTTATTAATTGTTTATTAATTGTGTATGTTTGAGATCAAAGGAATAAAGTTGACGTAAACGTTATTCCTCACACATAACATTTGTCGACAGACAGTTCACGTAAAATACGAATCGATTTCAGGCACTGGAAGTCGATTTGGAAGACGCGCTAACTTTTCAAGGTTGTTATATACAGAACAAATCGTACCAAAGGAACAAAGTTCTACACGAAAAGGTGAGCGTTATTTTCCTTAATTTTCACACAAGGTAATTGTTATTGTCAAATTGTAACTATATTTTTTAACACAATCGCACCCGTGTTTTGGTCTGATAGTTATCGCTGGGCGCATGGTGGTATTTTGTTGCGAAGATAGTTGAACTCTTGGACACGGTAAGTGACACGTAAATGTTCACTTTAGTAAAATTGACTAATTAATTAATAAATAAAACATTCAACGCTTATGAAAATGTTAGAAGTCAACGATGAGATGCTTCCATAATGTTTAACTGATACAATTGTTTCGTTACTTAATTAATACAAAATTACTGCAATCGTCCATACTTAAACGAACAATTAAGGACAATGTTTTGCTAACTCGGCCATCGGAAAAGTGTTTAGCAATTCCTTGCATCAGTCCCGATTGCACCAATAAATGAATACTATTAAATCTGTATTAACAAATCCAAATGGTTAGAAAACTTTATTTTTCTCAAATTTACTTTTTTTATTTAAAGATTTATTAATTTATTTTTTTTTTATTTAAACATCTATTAATAAAATTCGAATCAAAGGCATTTATTTCTTCTTTGCTTCGTTAAAGTAGATTTTTTTCTTTTTTGAGTCGTTAAATCCGCCGTGAGAAAGATTATAAACGTAGGTGTTTAAAAAATTAGATTTCCATTAAAAAAATAAATCTGACTTTCATCTCACCTTGACGCTTCCACCCAAAGTCAAATCCTTTCAATAAAAATGTGCCTCTCTCCAAACAATGTAACCTAAAAAAACCGGACCTCGACATTTCATTTAGTTTTCCAGATATTCGGCCTGTTACATTTGAAATTTAACATCCTGTACATCTAAGAGCGATTTATATGACTGATAAAATTCATAATGCGAAAGGGAAAAATTTCGTGCAGAATATTTTTGAGATAACGTAATTTTTTTCACTTTTTAAAGGTATTCTTCGTCTTAAGAAAGAAGCAAAATCAAGTGACTTTCCTTCACGTTTATCATCATACTATAACGGCCGTTTTCTCGTGGTGCTACTTAAAGATACTACCCGGTCAACAAGGTGTCGTCGTGGGTGCCCTGAATTCCATAGTCCACATTTTTATGTATAGTTATTATCTCATCGCGGCACTCGGTTCTAAATACAGGAAATATCTTTGGTGGAAGAAATACATGACCTGGATTCAGCTGGTAATTATCTTTCGGTACATAGTCAATTAAACTGACAACGCAGCAATGCGATATGTGTGTTAATTCCGAATTAATTTCTCGATATTCGCTAATCTTAAGATCATCGTTACATTGAAAAAAAACTTGAAATCGTTGATGAAGCACCCATGGAAATGTTTTACTGATTCAGCTAGAATTTTAAACGTCGTAAAATGTATCGCTGTTTTTTGTATTTGTTAGAAAATTGTCTGTGGCACGTATAATTTATAGCAGCAGCTTTCTAGCAATATGTAGAGGAAAATTTAGATCTTGTTATTAATTTTTTATAAGAAGTGTGACTGGTCTTAGTCTGAATGAACTCCACAGAGACTTTTATGCTAAATTAGACAAATAATTCAGATACAAATTCTCTCTCATCTATATTGATTAGGTATAACATATGTACATATGTAATATTGAAATATTTTCTAGTCATTTATTCATCTTAGCTAATTTCTCGTATCTAGATAATCTTCGCTAGGCCTGCAAGACCGTTTTTTTTTAAGTAAAACTCTCTCGAGTCGAAATTTTGATTTTGCATTGATCCTGCAAATTTTGTCTAACTTGAAAGACTAAAGGAGAATCTCAAGATATAACATTATAAAGAATATTATCCTATTTTAAAATATTCTGTTCGGGTTTATATTTTTTTTCTTGACATTGTGAAAATTTCTGTATATTGAAAAGATTTAAAAGGGCTGAAGAGAAAGAAGTTATAAAAGCAAATTATATTAACAATTGTGCGTCCGATAATACTGCGTGCTGATAGAGGTGTAAATTTATATTCGGGACAATAATGAGATTAAATAGAAGTGGATAAAACTTTCTAAATTTCGACTTCAGGTATCTCTTATTCTCAGCGAGTTCGTCAAACGTCCTGGTCGGAAATATCCTACGTAATAAATGATTCGAAACATCTGGAGATATATGACGTATCGCCGCAGCTGCGTCCAGCCGGTGAAAGCCCAATTAAATACTTCAAAAGCTGAGATACTTTTATCACTCAGTGGAAAATATAACGCACCAATACACATATGCCGTGTTAAAGGCGGTATTCAGCCAAGATACTGGATCAAGAAATCAAAACGAAGAAAGCAGGATGTATCTAGATGTGGGTAGCAATACGTTGCAGCGATACGTTGTATATTTCCATGTGTTTCAAATTATTTATTATACAGGATGCTTCTAGTTTTAATGGATATTTGAGAGAAGTACACTTAGAAAGTATAAAAACTATAATTATAATTTATAATTTGCAATTTCCGACGTTGGTAATTCGTAGTTTATCATCGCTTGACAAATCATTATTGTTTCATGAATCTCATTACTCGTCACCTTTGTATTTATCTTGTACTAGAAGAAATATTAATCTAAGTAGATCGAATAACAGTTATAAAAATAGACCGAATAACAGTTATAAAAGTGGATATTAATCCATATTTATAACTTTGATTGATAGCATGATTATTAAAATTCACAAAGCTGAATTTATATATTATAAATATTATTATTAAAAACGGTTTATAAATGCAAATTAATATCCGAATTTCATTACAATTTATTAATATTCTTTACAAATATGATATAAATTAAAATTAAATAATTTTACGACTATGAATATCAGCCTTAGAATCTAATTTAAATCCAGCAAATGCTAATTTATACATCTAATAATGTTTCTTAGGTCATATATTTTAGTAAATGGGACTCGGACCGAATAAAAATATCGGTCTGGTTTTTATTCTGGTTCACTTAAAATATTTAATAGAGGTTCAGGTTTCGGTTTCGGTTTTCTGGACAATGAAAGTACCGATAAACCGTTTAAATTTCGGATTTTTTCGGTTCCGGTTCTTTAAACTTGTCTCCTTACTGAAATTTGTATTGACATAAATTATATATATATAACGTATACAATAATATATCATAAAAAATAATATCACTTCTTCGATATAGATGGCGTTTTTTCACTACTTTCATCTTCTGCTCTTAACTATTTTGGGTATATAATATTATCTTCCTTATCTGTAAAATCTTCCTAACGGAATATATAAATTATGTAAATTCGGAGAATATTCGGAAAACATCTCGATATTCTCTGAACTTTCTCAGAACATACATATTCCGTTAGAATAAATTGTACAATTCAGGATGATTGTTTTTCTATTTATTCCAAAATTGTAATATATTACTTCTTTTGTTAACCCTCATCTGTTCAATATCGTATGCTTAAAATTTATGTTCTATTTGTCACGATAACTGATTAGTTAGATCTATGTTCTGCTTTTTCGAGAACTAGAATTTTATTATGAAATGAAAAAAAAGATTATTTAAAATTGTAGAATAAGAACCGAAATAGTGAACTGAAAAGAACCGCAAACCGAAAAAAATGTAACAATTCCGATTTCGGTTCTGTAGGCTTTATAAAATTTTAGCACGGTTTACGATTTCGGTCCGACAGAAATACCGGTTTTCATACGGTTTTCGGTTTTGTTTCCGGTCCGGGTCCCTGGTAAGTTGCATCGAATACAAATTTACATTTTTAATGCTACACAGTACTTTTAGACACGTAACTTTCGTTCTTCTGAATCTCCGAATTCCATCGAAATTTCTAATGTCGATCAAAAATGATGAACAAACTTTAAAAGAAGAAAATTTGTGTTGCTTTATTTATCCAATATTTAAACATTTCAATTATTTAATATTTATTTTATATATATTATTTGCCATTGAAATATATTCCATTTAATAGAGTTTATTGAAAAATTAAAAATAAAGATTAAAAATAAAAATAAAATTTTAAATGCAGGTAGAATATTGACACACACACTCATACGCAATCGAATATTAAATAAAATTTTGAATACATATTTTATAAAAATACTTATAACATCTGCAGCCATTCTTGAGATTCCTAATAGATTCTTGAAATTTCACTAACAATAATAATGAAATGAACGATAGTAACTAATCTATTCGTAATATCAAGGAACAATAATCTTTATGATATTGGTTTTTAAAGTCTCCACTGGCTCTTCAAATTCAAAATTTGCAGAGTTAATGTAGAATCAAAATTTCGACTCGGAAATTCTATCAAATTTCAGTTGCAGTTTGGGATGATGATGACCTACCTGATGCTAACTCTGGCTATGGACTGTCAAATGCCGAAGGCTTTAACTTATTTCTTCATAACAAACATAGTAATTTTCATCTATCTGTTCAGTGATTTTTACCGAAAAACATACAAAGCGAAAAAGATCCAATAAAGGGAATTGATCGTACGAAGAGAGAATGAATATGAACAAGTTTAGCTGTTTCTATTTATATTGAATTTTTTAACGACGAGGACATAAATTGACGAGGAGAACCAAATAATGAAATAACCGCAATTGACGATAATCTTTCAAATGAGTCATCCGTTTTTATGGTGTGAAGTGACGTGAAAGATTTATGCACATATCCACATTTACATGTGAACGATAGTTTCCTCAAATTTATAGAACGTGCGACATTTTTAAATTTCCATTCCTTAATTCCGTATCCATTCTATTTACGTGTACATGTTCCTCGAACTTTTTTTTGACAATTGAATTTGCTCATTAGGATTGTCATTCTGTTATTAGCGTTTTCTGTGTAACCGATTATTGTGTTCATAATCAATAATCGTACTATAATTTTAATTATTTTGTATATTTAATTATCCTTCGTGAAAACCATACGGAGGCTACTTTGTTTTATTTATTTGTACCCATCGGTCGTTTTTAACAAAATTACCGAGATATCAACGGTAATTGTGATATGTACGTTTAATTCAGTACGCGATCACAGCGGAATTTTTGTTTTCGCGCTCAAGTTCTCGAATCCTCTCCGATCCCGGCCTCGATGTTGTAATTAACGCATATCGTAGTATAAATCGGCAACGGATTTCTTGATCCGAAAGAACGAAGGGGGGGGAGGGAGAATCGGAGCGGGAGAGGAATCAGGATGAGCGCAAAGTCAAAGTCTAATTGCTCGAGATCGGAAGTGTGCCACGATACGTAAAAAAATGAGCACCCGGTTAGAGCAGACGGGTAATAAACCAACCGTCACTCGTTAAAATCTGCTAGGTCGAGCTGAACGCGCCGCGTTCTTCCTCGAAAGAAAACATCTGAGTTAGTTAGCTTTTCTAACGGTAGTTACTCTTTTCTCGGTTCTCTATTGTGTTGCACAGTCTTGTATTCAATGCCATATTGTTAAAGCGTCCAGTACACAGTCGGAGATGAACACTTTTTACTCTACGCTTGTCGTTCTCTTCGACCCAATTGAAGTCACTCAGGATGCTTGAAGTTCTCTTCTCTCATCTTTCAACGGACCATTCGTTATCCTCGTGACAAGACTGAATAGCGCGAAACCTTATCCGACGATTCCTACGATACTGATCGGTGCCGACAACCTTGTGTCTAATAACGCCAGAATCAAAATCTGTCAAGGGTACTGCAATTAAACGAATAGACGACGTACGGGTGCATAGTGTGTTAAGTATGCTAAGTAATATGTACTATTATCTATTTATAAATATTCTATAAATAAAAAAAGAGAAAAAGTTGAAGCTGCGATCACCTGATTTCATGTTCATCCGAAAGGCCTCGAATCGAATCGTCTATGTTGAACGTTTCGTCAGAGGTGGAATCTAAGCCGAATAGTCGCCGAATATCCGACACATACGAGAGCAGTCCGATAAGTACTTAGCCTACAAAAGAAAAACGAAAATTTTGGAAAAGTGGCGATTTATTTCTCAACATAGTCTCCTTTTAGCTCGATACACTTGACCCAGCGATGCTCCAACTTCTTTAACCCATCTGAAAAATACGTTTTCTCGAAGTCTGCAAAGTAGGCCTCCGTGGCGGCGATGACCTCCTCATTCGGCCAAATTGGTCGAATTGGACTACGAACTGCTGTCCCATCCACATTATTCTCCAGATTTGGCCCCGTGCAACATTTTTTTGTTTCCAAACTTGAAAAAGTCACTCGCCGGGCAGAAATTTGAGTAGGCTAAGTACTTATCGGACCGCCCTCGTATATCGCTGTGAAATACGAGATGTATTCATCGGAAAGATGTCGCACAAGTGATGTTAAGAGTAAAATCGACGATCAAAAGGTTGAACAATTAAGATCATACGGCGATGTATACTTTTATTCTACAACAAATTACACACGTATATTGTATGATACACACGGGTGTGGTTGTAAGATTATCTATCCATTCGAAATTGCGAAGTCGTCCGCTCGATCGATCGATATAAAATAAAATCGTAACTGTTCGATACAACAAATCGCTTGGAAGACCGTCTTAAAATGATGAGACCAAACGCGGTGCAGCCGACACTTTATTTACATTAGAAGCTCCGTTATGGTATCACTAAAGTACACAGAGCATAAAAAATCTTAGAAGCTACGTGTGCCTTATCGTTTTCTATTTTAATGTAAAAGCTAAACCGGAAGAGATATATGGGCAAGGAAGAAAAAGAAAAACAAGAAGAAGGAGAAAAGAAGAGAAAAGAAAAGTAAGTAGGAGAAGTCATGATGTTACCACAATATACACCTAGTAATTGGCGCAAAAATGCCAATTTAAAGCCATATTCTTTGGACTTAACTAATCTAATCGAAATTTAGGCAAAATCCAGCACCACGCAAAAAAAGCGAACGCACGTCGGTCTCGAGCTAAGAGAGGTCGAGTCACAAAACGAAACGCGAATGCTAAACGAGTAACACGTAAGCGGCTCTCAGTTTTCAGGATAATCGCGAATTTTCTCGCGCCGTGTAATCAAATATCACATATGATCTCACTCGAAACGAATTATTAGTTATACCGAAAAGTAACGATACTTTAATAGATCATTCTTCTCTCTCTCTCTCTCTCTCTCTCTGTCTGTCTGTCTGTCTCTCACACGACTGTTTGATTAATTAATAAAATTAAGATTTCTACAATCGTCGTTAGTATCACATGCCTATATTATTATCGCAGTGGTATAACGTTTCGTTGGAAAATGTAATTAATTATTTCTCCTCTTTAGAGATACCTACGATTATCTGACGTAAGATTTGATTATTGACTCATCACGAACACATTTGACGTGTAAACTCGTTATTGAAAATCGACGTGATCGCTTAAAGACGTTCTCACACTTTGTTCTTCTTGTACACAACGTGTAACTTTAATATGCTTTTTGATTGATTATACATTAATCGCGCACCTCGAGCAATTCTTGCATCGGCGATAAAAGACCGCAAAAAGAGATCGTAAAGTGAAGAAAGATTTTATGCTCCCTCCTCTCTCTCTCTCTCTCTTCCACTCTCTTTCTATATATATCTTTCTTCAGCATCGACAGAAGGCGATCGGTACGCGGTTTACGCGTTAAGCAATTACCGTGAAAATTACCGTATATTTAGGCCACGTGTTATCTAGATTGATCGATCGCGAAACACGCTGTCGCTTGCGACGCAAGTTCAATGCGAAACAGAGTTTTGATCCACCTTCAAGTCGAAGCTTCGACGTGAAAGTGTTGGCAGTTACGTTGTTACATTCGCTACTGTTCATATTCTGCGCGATTTGAGTTAAAAATCGCTACGGTCTATCGAGCTCACATAATCGCGTGCGCACGTGGATCGTACCGCTGGTAACTTTCGGATCGCAGGTCACCCGGAAGCGGGACGTGCACCGAGTACAACCGAGCCCCGCAGCAGTATTTATGAATTAGTCGTTAATTATGAATCGTACCAAATGATATCATGTTTTACGTTCTCAGTGTTTTATATCGGTGAAAAAACAGTAATAGAGTACCTAATAAGGTTTACAGGCACTCCTCGTACACGATGAGCGCTTATAAGCGCCGTCCGCAGTCGAAAGGTTAAATGATGGCTGATTGGATACGAAAAGGTGTTTCGATCGATCTAAAAACGAGCCGTCGTGGGAGCAGTTCGGATGCTCTTCTCGTGTGCGACTGCTCGTGAAGACGATCTCGAGCCGAAAGCGCCGAGGTTTCTACGGAGCGACGCGCACGCTGCGCATTTTAAGCACCGGAAGCGCGATCTTCACGTAGCGTGGTCAAAACCGCCATTATGTGCGTATGTGTGAGAGACGCCTCTTCATAAATATTATTACAGGTATAGATAATTATATTTATTGTATGCTTCCTCGCGATGTGAGAGATAATAGAGATTACGATGTATATGCGACAGAGACGGGGATAAGATTATAAATAAGGCGGAATGTCGTTTCGATCGTATCGCGAAGATATGATGAAACGAGAAGGTGAGCCGCGTGTACACGGTATGGAAGCAGCTTTCGGCGGAGAAATCCGCGCGTCTTGCGATGCACGTGATTCGCGCCGACGTATCGTTCGATCTGAAGGCCGCATTAAGATCCAAGTGTACACGCGGCAACCGGTAATTTTCCGCACGGAAGAAACGATCCCTGATCGGTGTAACTGAACTTTTCGCTCGGGGACCAGAAGATTCAATTGTAGGGACGGAAAGACGTTCCTACGACAGGTTTCTGCTAAATGCCCAACTGAGTCTTAACCCTTTTAGCGCCAACGACGATATATCGTCGCGTATCCGAGGGCGCCTTACTATTCGCATCGCGAGAAAGCTCTATCTCAAAATAAATTTATAAAACGTTATAAACGGTCTAATTTCATTGCAAAAGAATTTAAAAAATTGTTTTCGGGTTTAACTTTTTGTTATATTCCATGCTGGTTGGTGCCGAGGGTCTGTATACGTCGGAGCGATAAGGTAGAAACTCGACGCGGGACAGTTTCGTTCTCAGTACCGATATTAGTTATTTTGTTAAAAATAATTGGAAATGTAATACTCATACTTCATACTATGTGATCTACGTAAAACTGTGATCAAACGATGATTATTCTTATGTGCAAATGTTGTTTGTAGAAGAGAAACTTGTTTCTATGTTTTTCATCATGTTTTATATTGACGTTATTCGTATGATTTTCAACAAATATTGAAATACTCACTTACTTACTTTATTCTTTCTTTATTTCGTAATATGCTGCTTTTTGAATTTTGTCAATATCATTTTTAGTTTGGCTTTCATGAACTTTTTCCCAAACCTTAGTAAATTCGTCAAATTGGCTCGGTATTCTTCGCATAGGTACGATACTTTTGCTCGGCACTAAAAGGGTTAACGCAGCTGAATGTTTACACGAGGGTTCTCAGTCGTAGTAACGGAGATGTTATTTCTCGTCACTGGGCTTTCATTTCATCGTTCACCGAGTTATTATCCGGTCCCCATTCAGTCGCGGAAACTGAGACTCTCCTTCCGTGCGTGTGTAAAGTAATAACGCGCGTTATTTCGAACTGTCGATTTACAGGTGATGGAAAATGAGCAAGCTTGGACATCCTGTGCGCGCTAATCGCGCGTCAATCATCGATACTGGCTCGCCACTCCTCTCGGACGTGATTTCGCTGTCGTTCGCGAAGACGCACAACGAGCGGATCGTCGACATTCTTATATAAAACTGGGAAGCACGGAGTGAACAAACATACGTTCGCTCTTCGCGAACGCCTAATGGTCTCTTGGATTATTTTCTTTCTTTTTGTTTTCTTTTTTCTCCCCCGCTTCCTGTTAACTCTTCGTGCGCGTTGACCCCAGTACCGGACGTTCGTTTTCGTACTTCTGGTCTGCTGTTCGATCGGGATGAGAAACTGGATGAAAACTGACGATACGATTCGGTGTTGGCAACGATAACGGCCGTGAGGCCTTTCATTCGCGATTGCGTCTCCTTTCTCGGTCGTCCCCCATTAGTCACTTTTCCTTTTTCCGTTCGATATCCCGTTGTTGCTTACTTTCTCCGCGATGTCACTCGCTTTGGCCGTGTCTTGAATCGGCGAGGCGCCGTGTTCCTTCTTAGTGGTGTAAGCGTTGTTATAAAAATCCGCGAAGAGGAAGTAGAAGAATATCGCGTTCGGCAGTACCAAAAGCAGCGACCATTTCGGATACTCGCAGTCGTAGAACAATAGCTGTAGGTTATGCAGAAAGGCCAGGCAGAATTGACCCTGTCGGACAAGCGAAGATCGCCGCGTTTAGTACGTTCTCCCTGCGGATATTCACCCACGCCAATTGACCGATCGAATTAGGGTGAAAATGAACGTAACGACGTAGCGTGTATCGAGGAAGCGATTGAAGCGAACTTTCCGAGAGAAGCCACGTCGTATCGAAAGTTCTCGATAAAAATTCACGGCTCGATAAAAATTCACGGAGATACGAAATAGCGCTCGGGAATCGAGGCCGTCCCGTTTTCTGCCGTTCCCGTTCTTCTGCGGATATTTTTAACTCGCTCGGTTCGGCCGAGCCGAAATCTCGCAGACGTTCATTCGCCCCGGGAATCCGCGAACTACGGTGAAAATCTCGTGCACCGTGCACGGCCAAGGAAATCGGCCCTCTTCGCCTGAAAAATGAGTTCGCTCGGATCTACCCGACGATGGACGGACAGAATGCGTTTTGGAAAAGGAAGCAATTTCTTGAGAACTAGGAACTTTGTTCCTTTCTAAAACGCGGTTTGCTCGTCCATTGTTAAGTAGTAGATCTTGCCAAATTCATTTTTCAGTATCCGCTTACGGGAAGAGAGAGATTTCACCCCCGGCATCCCCGGTGTCGATTCGCTCATTTCAATACCATTTGCAGAGTGGTGATGTACTTCTTCCACCAAAGGTATTGCTGATACTGAGGTAGTAAGGCCGCCAGTAGATAATAAGAGTACATGATGATGTGCACGAAACTATTGATGATTCCTGCAAGTACCCAGAAATAGAAATATATTTAGTCAGCCGGAATAAAAACACTGGTAGCTAACATAGGCTAGATCAAATTCTCCGGCTCGTTACTAGCTCATTACTGGTTGATCACACCGAGCAACAACAAACCAACTCGTTTCATCTTGAGATTTTGTAGACAATCTCCCGTAAGTTTTCGGTTGTTAAACACGAAGCAACCAACAGCTAACTTATTAATCTATCCATTATCTAGTCAGTCACTAGGAGGAGCGAGCGTTATATTACTAGCCAGCTAGCGACGTTAGAAATTTATTACTTCGCGGCTGGACACCCATGAGGTTCAATTCCTGCTAGGATAGATGCAATCCGAGTCATCGCGCGAACGCGTTGCGATATGACGGTGATGCGCGAATAACGTGAGGAATGAAGTAAAGAGCGACTCGTGACACGCCGTGACTGTCTTCTCCTTTTTCCTTTTCTCTCTTACGCACCTATGAAGATACCGTGGCCTCCGGGATAATATTTCGTAGCGCCCCACGACACCATTGGCATCACCGTGTGATGGTACAGATGGAGAAACGTGATTTGCCTTTCCTTCTTGCGCAGCACGAAGAACACCGTGTCGAGCAGCTCCGTAAGTTTCGCCAGAAAATAGAAGTAAACTCCTCGCGCGACCTGGAATATCCGCTCGAGAAGTAATTTATTTTCGAGTACACAACACGACGTGTGTTTCCCGCTCGGCTCCCCCTCTCTCTCCCTCCGTCCAAATTAGCGAGCACGCGTAAGACAAGTGACATGTAATAATTTTTCTTCAATTACAGTTGAAAGATCGTTAGTAACGGGAAGTCGTAAATTCTATCTAATCGTGGAGATCAATTGCGAGTCGGCGGTACGTTCGGGGTGCGTTTACGTACTCTCAGAGCATCCGGTGAGTACGAGAAGTCCACCGGCTCGCACTTCCAGTTGTAATTTTTCAACCATGCGCCGTCCAAGCCCTCCCAAAAGAGCCACGTACTGATGAGAACCTGAAGGAAGTTGTAGAGCACCAGAATGTTTTTCAGTTGGTACGGCTTTCGGTGTTCCATATGTCTCGGGCCCCATGACAGAATGAAGTAGAGATAGCCTATTAAAATGCTAGCGCCAGGTACGGGCGACGATATGAGAAACCAGTCCCTCGTCCGGGGATCTGAAAGGAATTTGTACACAATGAAACTAACGGCGGCTGCGTTGAGTCTGATAGCCAACCTCTTTGTACACGCCCGGCTCGGTGCTCGAATTTTTTATTCTCTATCGGCTTGAGTCGGAATTAACTCTCGTGCTTTTTCTCTCCCGACAAAATCATCTTCACCTTAAATCATCTCACAAAAGAGTATCATTTGTATAATATGTTCGTTACTATTAATAATGACTCGTACTTTTAATTATTCAGTAAAAATACTTAATTAAGATTAAAAGAGAAAGTAGTGTTACATGGCTCTAGAAATTTGGATTATTAACAAAGATATTGTACAAAATGTAAATGGGAGAAGAGAAGAGAGAGCATAATATCATTTTTTCTTAATCAAGTATTAAATACTTAATTGAATAAAAATACTTATAGATTCTTCTCGCAAGTATTTGGAAATTATTTGCGGCAATGCAGCGAAATTACACATTTTATCGAATGATGAGATAAAAACTGTTGTTGTAAAAGTCCGCGAAGAAGAAGTAGAAAAATATCGCGTTCGGCAGTATCAGAATGTCTTTTTTCTCTTTTACTATGCTGTAATTTTAACTTTAGAAAGGATTTCCGTGGAAAACAATACACGGTCGGCGTTTTTCCAAGACGCGGAACAAGAGACACATCCCGCACGAGGAGGGACCGGACGAATAAAATCAATATGTGTCGCGTTATTATCGGAAATTACGGGATCGAAATTATTACGGTATCCATGAGCACCAGCTGGTTCGAATTTTGTCCAGCGCGCCGTATTACTGCGAACAAGCACGTAATTATATGAAGCGCCCTGCGCATCATTCTTATAAACCAATCATCAAAATCATCCTCGGAAGCAATTAGTCTCGCGTAACGCGAGCTTACCGGATAAATCGTGGAACAAATGGTGGTAAACCCGCACGACGGAATTGTTGTAGATGTTGGACATCCTGTCGGCCGTCAACGACGCGCTGGCGTTCATCGGAATATCACCTGAAAGCCGAGATTAATTTATGTAAGAGTTATGATCTACGCACGATGGTAACATATTCTCGCGTTTCCAAGATAAATATATATAAATACAGCGGAGATGAGAGTATCTCGCACGCATCGCGCGTATGCGATTAGAATTTCACGGAGTTGCGTTGCGCGCGCGACAATAAGCGCTCCTTTAGTTATACAAATAGGAGTTGAGATCTGAAGAGTCTAAATTTTAGTTTTAGTTAATTTTAGTTAAAATGAAGTTCTTCAAGTGGAGAAAACGGCGACAACTTCTCCGTTTGTAGCATCGAAGGATAAAATAGAAAACCTTTGCAGGCTTGACGCAAAACTAAATTGGATAATTACCTTACTTAAAGTAAGGGTAAAATTTCGACTCGGGAACAATAAATTAACAAGTTTTCTCGCGTACGAATCCGCGAAAATAAAGCGATCCATCATAATCCATCAGAAACTCTCTCCCCTTTTTATATCGCCGCTTAAATAGCGAGGCTCTAATTGAGCGGTGTTCTCTTGCAACACAAGACGCGTGATTTACTGATTGCTGAAATCCACATTCCTTCGTTGGATCTGCGTGCGAGCTGATCCGACACTGATATCCGGACCGATCCAATGCGGTTGTAACGAGAGAGGAGAAGAAAAAAAAGGCAGAGAAAAGAGAGAGGAAAGACGGCAAGGGCCCGTTCATTTTCGCAGCCTGTAATTACAGGCTCCCATTGCTACTTGCTCAATGGCAATGTTACACCGCTGAAAAAGCACGATCACGATCATTTAGCGGTGACACGTATTGATCTTGTCCGGCCTATCTTTTTTATTCTTTTTTTTTCTCTCTTTTTCCTACCGGTACCAAGAGCGACGACGAATTAGTTTGATGCAACGAACCGATCGGCCGGTTCGTACGCGTCACTCTACTCTGTATCGCCTTGGAGACCGCGCGAGGAGAGAGCGCGATTCTTTCACAAGCAAGCTGTTCTACTTAAACAGCATCGCTCTGTTGGGCCTTCACATATTTCGTCGTCGAAATCCATAGTCTGACGATCTAACACGATCTATCATGCAAATCTCGGAGTCGGATGGTCGGACTTGGATAAGACGGAGAACTCCTTAATCTTCGGTATATTGTCAGGACGACCATTGGAAGCAGTAACGCTGGAAACAAGACGAGGCTCAGTCGGAAGGGAAGGGAGAGGATACACGGACATGGCTCCTCTTTGTGCACGTATCCCTTTCATCTACTTTTCGATCGAGCTGTGACTTGATCCTAGCGTCACCGATTCAAACCAGGTTTGGTTTTGAAATGTTACTCTCACGCTTGTAGCTTCCGAGTTTGGTGTCGCGATCCTCGTAGAATTCTCGCCAAATCCGAGGAAACAAATTCGCGAAGGACACGGCATCGGCTCGAGGGCCAAACCGAGCATTCGAGTTTTTCCCTTTGAACAGCCTAAACAGATTGACATGTTTCACAATTTATTCTTCTTTAATTTGATTCTTTCGTTCTTCCTTAATTTACTTTTATTTAATTGTCTTCTTTTATTGTCCCTTGAGAATTTTTCAAAAGGACGAGGTGAAAATTTCAATGTTTTCTTGCATAGAATAAATTAACCCTTTAATTAATAGCACGACGATATAGCGAGAATTAAGGGGTAGAAAAATGCGACTCGATTGCCCATCCGATCGTGTATTAATCGGGATGCATTTATTCTTCCTCCCTAACTTCTTTCGACACGTCGTTCCGCAGCATCGGAGTCGATATTTCCCCCGCGCAAACTTTTCCATCGGCCGGCGCCATCACGGAGGAACAATTTAATAATCCCGTTTCCTCAACGATTAAATCTGATTTCCGCCGCTGCCGGCACACTTTCCATGCTTGTATTCCGACGTACGTGTATTCGGCCCCGTCTGATTATTAGTGTTGTTAGAGCTATTACGCCGCAAGCCGATGCAGCGCACCACGCACGACTTTCCACGGCGGAACCAAGTGGAAGTGTTGCCGGCGTAAACGGCGGATGGCTGACCGACCGCACGCCGGGGACTTATCACTGGAAAGTAAAAGCGCGGAGGCCGAAAAAAAGGAGAAGAAAAGGCGAACGGCGTGATTACAGTAGAGATTTGAGTAACGAGCAGCCAGCCGATCGCGATTCCACCACGCTCGAGCGATCTCGCATTAAAGGACGCTATCGAGTGTCTTAGAAATATGTGCGCAACGAAGTTCCCAAGCAGTGAGGAGGCGCCATCGCGAATTTCTCATTGGTCTTCGCCCGCTTTTCTCGCGGACGAATCGATCATGAAAGGTAAACGATGTTCTCGATGAATTCACGATATCAGCGAGAACATATGACATATTTGTGCGCAAATTAATTCGATACCTTTTCCCACAAAATTCCAAAGTTTATTTGCCAATAATCAAATACAAGTTTCATCCAGAAGATTTATATTTCCATTGGCTCTGTTGGTGATTTAATCATGGAGAGAAGTGGAACCGGCCCTTTAAGGGGCAAAATCGTGGCTGTTGTAGCGATATTATTGCGAAAGGATACGGTTTAGCTTCGGCGTATCATTCTTTTTTTTCTTTCGCAATGTTTCTCGCATGTTTCAGCGGAGGGACAAGTTATCGTGACGTCTTTTTGCCCGCGGGAGATTAGCAGCGGATTACAACTTCCTTGTCAATTGTAACTGTAATAGTGTCGCGTTTCAGTCCGCTACCGCCGTCGCATCCTCAGTCTCTCTAAGTATTGTGTATTTTCTTCATGATTGCGCTGTATGTGTGTCGCAACGCGTCCTCTTCTTGCCGTGTATTAGCGACGCAACTCTCGTGTAACCTTGCAAACCGCGTGCGATTCTACCTTGCGCGCTTCGAGCGTGGAGTTAAACGACCGTATCGGACATTCTCTAAAGATACAGCTTTGCGCGTGTCCCATTACGAAAATTCGGCATCGGACGGCGAGCTCTCGGGAAATAAGCGTCGAACACGTTAATAATTAATAACCGTCCGTCGTTTCCACGTCGAGACCCGCGACTGCTTAATTGCGTGAGTAATTACTCGACAATCGTGTAAAAAATATCGGTATACCGCAAGAGTCGCAAGAAAAAGAGGGACGAAAAAACCTATCATTTGCATCACACAATTAAACGCGATTGAAGTCGTTAGACATACATGTGGTTTCGCGGACGCATTTATTTATCGCGTTTCTCTCTCCCTTTTTTTCTTTATCATACGCCTTATTGAGACACCCATCGACCGTCGAATTAAAAAATATCACGCGCCACTCGACAAGTCGTCGAGTAACGCCTACGTTCGCACGAGAACTCGGACTTTTTCGTGACAGCTGACCGTTAGAGGTTTCCAGTATCGTTCGGCAGAAGTAGAGGCCGTGGCTTACGAAAATCGTAAAATCGCGCGAACTTTCGCAAAGCCAGGAGCATTACGACAATTGTATTATGGCTCGTGCGCTTGGAAGACCGGCCGGTGCAGCGTCGTTAAGCCAGACGCAGGTTGAGTAACATTTTTCATTTTAGGACGTAGTCAACCGGTCCCTCGACGTTATCGTCTCGGAATCTATCTGTCTACTTGCCAACGTGATTCCACGTAATTTATCTTTATAAACTTATTCTTTCGAGACCCCCCTCTCCTCTCCTACGCAGTCGTACATTTTTTCGATTGAATTCGCCATTTTCCCGATTTGCATCTCACAGATCGCGATATTAAACGCGAGGTACGAACGGTTATCTCAAGTACACGCTGCCGGAATCGCAGTCAAATGGAACCGATAGCTCCGGTATCCGCCGTACGTACGAATCAAACGCGAGAGGCTGTTAAGTGAGCAAATTGTGATCACATTGGCACAAAATTCAACGCGTTCGCACGACCACGTCTGTCACGGATAAATCGTCACGCGTAAATCGCGTGAAAGATCCACGTATTCCCCGCATTCTGATGTAAACGCTATTTGTTTCCTCCCGCAAATCTCCCGAATTTCCCGCGTAACGACTGACACGGTCGAAAACGTAACAACGATGCGACCACACACTTTCCTCAATTTCGAGATTCACAGCGCGGAACTGAAAATGTAACGACCTTACGTGCGTGTTATTACTACTATTTCTGCGGTCGAAACTATAAAAAGATTACGGTTGGCACCGAAAATAACTATAATCTCTCTCGATGCACATTCAGCAAATGATTTATAAACCAAGGTATTATTGTGTTTAAGCAAGTATTTATTGCACGCGTAAAATATATTTAAATTCATAAAAATATCACTCGACTTAAGAGGCGGAAAACAGGTGATTATGTCCCTTCGATTCCAGCATGTTTCTTTCTCTGTGTACGAATTGAAGAAAATTTACATTTCCTCATTCGAAGAGAAAAGTTTTTTTTCGTTCAGCGCAGAAACATGTGTATATTAGTATAAATAAACATGATTATTGATATGTATGTGTGTATCCATCGAATATAAACACCCTTTATTTCTTCGATATTTCTGCACTCGGGCCGTATCTTAAGAATTTTCGCTGTAATCGGGCACGCGAGGCAGGCCACGGCGCGCCGTTTCACAATTTACGCTCTCGTCTATTTATCATCGGCGTTTCGCGCATCGCGCTCTCTCATTGACACGCGAATTATCAAGCCGCCGCGGTACTTTACATAATAAACCGCTAACATTCTCCCTCCCTCTGTCCTGGCTGTCGTTATCCGGCTGTCCGTCGAAAACAAACGACTTGACTTCGCGAGGCCGACGGTTGCTTCAGAACCGTACGGGAGAATGACCGACAATAATAAATTCGCGTTGCAAAATATACGGAGGCACATAGCGGTGATTTGAATGACGCATTGAGCGGGACGTACCTCGGCTGCCACCATGCTCGCTCTCGCGTACTTTAACGTACGAACGAGAGCGTTTAAAGTACTTGCACGCGCAGGTCGTGCACACCGGTGTGCTCGTCGCACGCGTGCATCACGCGCGCGCGCGATCCCATCTCCCGTCTCGAGAAAC